CCAGAAGATTTGTAAAAAGCATTACAGTAGCCTGTGGAAGTTTCTTTGAAAAATATGCTTTTGTTTACCCTTCCCTTCTTTCTGTTTAAGGCTATTGCTATGGCATTAGCCATGACAGAATGACAGTGTCAAAATTTTACCTGACAACTGAGTAAATAAATTCATAAAATTTATTGTGATGTCAGTAAATTAAAAAAAAAGGATTTATATACTGGCTAAGGCGGAAAAAAATACTTTAATTGACATTAAGACTTTACAAGACCGTAATAGACGTATATCAAATAGACAATCTCTTCAGTGTCTAATGGAACGGTTTGATGCTAGTCTTAGTGTTGAATATAAAGAAATGAGAAAAAAGAATTTCAAATTTTAGTTCAATTTCATTTTTTTTTAAATTACATTAACTCAATACATAATCGTGTAAAATTCACAATCGAGATTGAGATAACTCTACTAATTTTTTAGACTTAACTATTACGAAAGTGCAAAACAAATTAGATTTTTCAATATATCATAAACCTTCACACACGGACAAAGTCATGCATAACAGTTCAAATCACCCTTATACACACAAAATGACTGCATTTAACTCTTTTATACACAGACTTCTTAATACGCCACTCTCAACAGAAAATTACAACAAAGAACTTAACATATATATTATTATTATTATTATTATTATTATTATTATATTATACGTTATAGATAAAATTATAAATAAAAAACAAATACAGACAACAGTAAACTCTATTTACCCGATAGCTAATACAAACACGAACAATTTAAAACCATTACATACATAGGGGAACCTAGTGAAAAAGTTTCAAAACATTTGTCAAAATGTGGTTTAAAAATAGCTTTCAGAACTAACAACACAATAGGAAAATATTTAAAAAACAATAAATCGAAATGTCCAAAATCCCAAAAATCAGGTGTCTACAGGTTGAAATGTGGATCTTGTCCTAAAAGTTATATTGGACAAACAGCTAGATCCTTCAAGAAACACATTAACGAACATATAAAAGCGTTTAAAAACAATAGTCTAGATTCTAATTATGATACACACTTAAAAACAGAAAAACACATTTTTGACGACAATTTTGATATATTACATACAGCCACAAAAAGTAGAAAATTAAATTTATTGGAAGCCATGGAGATTAACAAAATGAGTTATTCAAATGTATTGCTTAACGATCAATTAGATTTAAATACCTCTCCTTTATTGAACTTAAATTCTCGCAACAACCTTAATTAAGATTTTATGGTCATTTTCGGTATATATATAGTATCAGGCAGTTTGTAAATATTATATTTGATAGACACGGTGTTGCTGAAACAATTGTCATGTCAAAATATATAATTTCGTGAAAATGTGAACTTTTAGTTCTTATTTATTTTGATAAATGGATTTTCATCAAGTAAAAGCCCCTCAGTTCAAGAGCTTGTAGACTACACCCAAGCTATCCTCATAATCAGCCTGAGACTAAGTTTATTAGAAGTGTCACGGTCTGGAGTTCTGTGACACTTGGAAGCAGTTTTTTTGGACAGAAACATGGATCCTCAGTCCATTAAGAATTTCTTACAAGCTCCCGCGTTGCTCTCGCTCCAGCAAACTACAAGAGCTTCTGCTAAAGTCTTTCTACTTGTCCCCTCGGTCAACTTCTCTTTGTTATCTATGTTAATCATATCCATGCACTCACTCTTTTGAGGATTAAATGACAATAACGACAAAAATAACCCTCGGAAACAAATTTCACGTTATTTTTGTTTATTGCAAATTTTTGCCGTTTTCCATGATTTAGATGCCAAATAGTAGAAACAATTATTGTAAGATTAAGATTTTAGAAAAAAAATGGAAAATTAAATATTATATTGCTCCAAAAAACACATCTACAACTCTTTTACATTTATAATATTAACGCTAGTAGTACTTTTTTTATTAGCTTTATTATTGGCTTAGAACTATATAGTTTTTCAAATAAATAGAGTTCGTAGAAAAAACATTTGATAAAGACACGGTGTTGTCGAAACAATTGTCATGTCATAATATATAATTTCGTGAAAATCGGAACTTTTAGTTCTTATTTATTTATTTAAAATAATTTATTTAAAAGCCTCCTCAGTTCAACGAATGTATTTGTGTAGTTTTGCGAAAATGTACCCAAAAACTAACGGTCGTAGAAAAAGTTTAGTATGCAACACGTTCGATAAACTCTTTAAGCAACTCGTTTTAAACTTGTGAATCAAATGCCGTTTACTACACTTTGCAAAATATACTATTTCTGATGAAGTTACTTGTCGCAGTAATCGTCATAACATGCATTACTATTCAACAGTACAGTACAGGACGTGCAAAACCAAGACGATGGGTCACTTAATATGTGGTGTGGAAAGAAAAGTTTTAAAGTGATTGGACGAGATTTTTTCGCGAACCACTTAACGGGCCCAGATATTTAACCTTTTTGCAGAACGATTTATCTCAAATTCTTTAAGAGTTTTATAACATTGACACCCAACAAATGTGGTTGCAGCGCGATAAAGTTCCTTCGCAGTACCATCGAGAAATTCGAGTATTTTTAAATAATCATTACCCGCATAGATGGTTCGGTAGAGGTGGATTCATTGGATGGGCCCCTCAGTCATGTGACTTAAAACCATTAGATTTCATTTTATGTTAAAGATCGTGTTTATGTTAATTCCTCTACATCAGAAGATGTGGGAACCACCATGGGAATATACGAAAAACACTCAACATGAAAAGCATATTTTTGAACATATATTGCGCCATTATAATTATAATTATTAAAAATGCAATTAGTTAATTTGTAATAATAGGTATTTTAAATTGTTTAGTTTTAAAAAAATCTTTATTTATTATTTTCATCACAATTGCTAATAATTATATGTGTTGCTTTATCAACTGCTGGAACAAAGTTCTTTCGCCTGTTAATATTTTAATTTTAACTGTGCTAATAGTTTGTCATCGCCAACTAATATTATAGCGATAATCTTAGAAGGAATGGTAAATATTGAAAAAGTTAAAATAAATCGCAAACTATGAAAAATAGGTGTATGACGCACTTAATAAAAGTTACAGCGTTTTGAAAGTTCTTTAAGAAATAACATGTGCCATTTAATAAAATCGAGATTTTTCAATTTAAAATTATCCAAATTTTGAACACCCTGTAGCATCTAATTCAAATTACGTGGCGGATGTCTTTTACGTCATCTTAGAATAACGGAAATATAATCTCGTACCAAAAAAAACTCTTGGCTCAAATGCCATTTACCGCACTTGTTGCATAATATATTATGTATCTCAACAATATTTACAAATTCTATCTTTACCATGTTGGCATAACTTTTGAGATAATGAACGTTATTCTATCATAGACTCACCCTGTACAAGTATGGCAAGAGGCGACAAGCTCTTCAAACATTTCTCTGATTGGTTCATAGAAACTTCTCTGAGTTTACTATAAAAGGAAAATTGATTTACAAATACAAGATTGAATTGCAAGAAATAGTAATAGTAACTGACTTGTTAGCAGAAAAAGTATACTTAAAAGGATACGGTTATTTAAAATGCGACAGCTGGTAGGAAAAAGTAAGAAATTGTGACGTACTCCTGCGAGTAAATAAGGAATTAGTAGAATACTCAAGACACATAACAAGACATCTAGAAAAATATCTCTTTAATTGCATCATGCATAGAAAAATTGCCAGCAAACGTGGTCCACGTAGAACAGAAATTTATTGACTCAACAACCTACGAGAATAGTGTTCAATTACTATAATAGGTAAATATGATCGCGAACATAAGAGGATGAAAAAAATAAAATTAAAATGTAGTCATTTCCATCTTTTGCCATATTTCCGCCAGTGCCAAAGATACATTTTTCCATAAATTGTTTCTCCAATATGTATCTCTTACACCCCAAAGACTCCTAACTCCTAACCAAAGCTCAAATAAGGGGTCCATTCAAATTCAGCCACATAAAATGTGAATCGACGAGGTTAAAAGTATGCTGGTAAGCTTTTATCGATTGGATGTATAAGAATGGCCAGAAATCTGCAAAAATCATTTAAAGTTATATGTAAATATTCACAGGTCGGTCCAAAGCAAACATATCCAAAAGTGAGCTATTATCTTGATTCGGGTTTAAAGGCCGTCGTCGGTTGGAATTACTTCCTAACTTTTCGCTAGCACGAGTGGCGAGCTTCTTCAGAGGTCCTTCCATCCCTTTAAACCCGAATCAAGATAATAGCTCATCAACGGGCCGCGAAAGCCTTAACCAATTTATCATATCCAAAAGTTTTTCATGTTTTTCTCGAAATTGAAGCATTGATTTTGAACTACCACTTTTACAGATTTGGCCAGCAGCACTTATGGTTCGGAAAAGAATTTTAAGAGTGTCAGGCATACCAACAATATTCCAGAACACAACAAGGTATGTTTGGTATAAATATGTCAAACAAAATTTTAAATAATTTAGGAAAATCCAACAGCCATATTCCGCAAAGATTCGGTTTTTCTAGAATTATGTTGCTTAATTACTTAAAGGTATACAGAACCTATTAAAAGACGAATCAATTTCTTTAAAAAACATAGGGTTGTTCCACTGAAAAAAGAAATACAAGCCTCGATCAGTATTGTAAATAGAAATAATACAGCAACATAGAAACAATCTGAACACATCCCCTGATTCTACGTAAAAAGTTTTAATATTTTTTTAAGTTAATTTAATTTTCTCTATTCGATAAACCGTCAGATTACCGAAATATAGATCGCCCTGTAGCTCGGAAAGCAAAAGTGCCATGAATCTTAAATTTCACGCTAAACTAGTTAAGTCTACATAATTAAACAGAAAAAATGAAATAAAATCCAACACGTTCTTCAAAAAATTTATGTCAGCACATCGGAGGTTTGTCGTTGACATTTTTGCCGTTTACAGGGGGACAAGGGGGGCACGTCATCGTTCCTGTCTGTCGATCGTATCTGCCCAGAAAGGCTCCGCATTTCTTGCAAAACAATTCGATATCGCTACCATGCGGAAGAAAAAAAGGGAGGAAGCAAATCGGCCAGCACAATAGGAGACACAACGCACCTATGGTCGAGTACGCAACCTAAAATTTCATGATACTGCAATGGTACTGACTGTCACCATCGAACAACAGTTAAAAACAATAATAAGACAGTCTCCGGTTTTTCCATCCAAGAATGAGCATTACACAGAAATGAAGAACAGATGTGGCGTCATCTGCCGGGTTAGGGAGAATTATTTAGAATTAGTAGTGTTTGGCCCCTAAACCTGAACAAAGACATTTTGTTGTTTTTTTTAACTAATTTTAGAGAAAGAAATTGAGTTCTCGGCAAAAAAAATTTTGGCAATACTTTTTTGTAATGTAATGTAAAGAATTTATAATACGTTTTAAATGTTAATGTGGTATGTTTTTTGCTCATTTAAAATAGAAAAAGCGCGAAATTTTCAATAAGATTCGCGCATCAAATTAAAATTGTGAGAAGATGGAATTGATACAGTTTGACTCCGAGGATTATGCAAAACAGACACGAATAAAATTGGATCTAATATTTAATAAATTACACTGTGAAAATGAAGCCGATATACGCTGTACTTACTTAAACTTCTTCAAAAAGGAACAATGTGTATAGTCTGTCTCAATCTTCAATTATGGAAGTTCCCTGCCGACGGCAATAAAACTCGATTGCGGTAGGGACGGACTCTCAAAGGTTTTGGTAATAATATAATTTTCTTGTTTATTTAAGTGGGTATAATCTTATTAAATCCGGCTAAGAAATGACATTCAATATATACAATAAACTCATAGCTAGCTATGTCTACATTTTTATTCTAAATGTCTAAAACTAATTCTAATTCACTATCAAACTCGTCATTGAGTTAATTATAATAGAATTTATATTGTTTTGAATTGAAGTGTAATAGTCCTCAATTTTTATAATGTGCTTTACTGAATTTTTCCAACACTCAACTGATATGTTATTAATTACATTTTTTATCAAATTTACAATACTGGAACTTAAAGAAGGAGTTACATTTTCCGCTATAACCTTTGATTTGACTTGGTTCCACAAATTCTTTATGGTATTAAATGTGCAATGATATGGGGGAATACGTAAAACAGTATGCCCGACCTGTTCAGCCAAATGATCGCATACATACTGTTTTTTAATTGCATATGAATTTAGGACTTCCAAAAGTTGCTCGTTTTTGTAACTGAATTCAAAATAAATATTATTTTCTAACAAATATTCCTGGGTTTCAGTTTTTGAACTTGATGAGGCTGGTGCTTGACGTAAAAGACGGCTGTGGTAACTTGAGTTATCCAAAGAAACTTTCACAGTAATACTTTTTACAAAACTTTTGGATTCCTAATGCGTCGGTTTTTGCTTAGTGGAACTTGCTGACGTTTCGCCAACCATCCTGTTGGCTTCTTCAGAGCTTGACTGAAACTGGCTCGCATTTTACTCTGTACCTGCTTATATATTTTTTGAGGGGTGGGGGGGCTAAATGAGAGGCATAAACACCGTCTAGATGTCTGACGCAAGCCAGTTTCAAGCAACTTCTTAGCAAGTTTGACTCAACAAAAACCGAAGCAGGAGGAATCCAGAAGTTCGAGATAAATCCGTCTTCTGATGCATTTTCCTTAATTTGAAGGTGCTTTCATCTGACAATTTCGAATAGAATCAACCCATCATTTAGATACAGTGTCGTGTGCATCGAATCATATTTCATCGCCGTGAATTATAGATCTGCTGTCTAATCTAAATCTTTTAATTTCTTGAGGATAGTTAAATCTCCAAGTGCGTAATCTGTGTGATTCCATTACTACTTGCCTTTTGTCTATTTTGCTCTGCTTAAATCCCATTTTACTAACAACTCTACGGAGGTGGCACAGCTTATACTTATATTAGTTTCATTTTCTTCTAGCTTCTTTTTCAGTTTTTCCAAGGAAGGAACAACTTCGCTTTGATAAAGACAATATATTTTCGTAAATTGGACTGAGGTGGCTTTTACTTGATGAACATTCATTCATCAAAATAAATAAGAACTAAAACTAAAATTATATATTTTTACATGACAATTGTTTCGACAACACCGTGTCTTTATCAAATGTAATACTTACACACTACCGGCTACTATATATACCGAAGTACAATAAAACCTTAATTAATGTTGTGAGAATTTAAGTTCAATAAAGGAGAGGTATTTAAATCTAATTGATCGTTAAGCAATACATTTGAATGTCTCATTTTGTTAATCTCCATGGCTTCCAATAAATTTAATTTTCTACTTTTTGTCCCTGTATGTAAGATATCAAAATTGTCGTCAAAAATGTGTTTTTCTGTGTTTAAGTATGTAGGATAATTAGAATCTAGACTATTGATTTTAAACGCTCTTTTATGTTCGTTAATGCGTTTCTTGAAGGATCTACCTGTTTGCCCAATAAATTTTAGGACAAGATCCGCATTTCAACCTGTAGACACCTGATTTTTGAGATTTTGGACATTTCGTTTTACTGTTTCTTAAAATTTTGCTATTGCGTTGTTAGTTCTGAAAGCTAAAGAAAGTAAACCACATTTTGACAAATGTTTTGAAACTTTCACTGGGTTCTCCTATGTATGTAATTGTTTTAAATTGTTCGTGTTCTGTATTAGATTTCGTATAAATAGAGTTTACTGTTGTCTGGATTTGATTTTTATTTATAATTTTATGTATAATGGACGAATTGTTGTTGTTCAGTGCAATTTGTTTAATGATATTAAGTTCTTTATTGTAATTTTCTGTTGAGAGTGGCGTATTAAGAAGTCTGTGTATAAAAGAGTGAAATGCAGCCATTTTGTGTGTATATTTAAAAAAGAATTCAATTGTCTATCCGTTCCAACAAAGCAAGCAAAGACATCATTCACGTATCTATACCACCATAGAAAACTTAAATGATCTTCTAGTATGATATTTTCCAAATTATCCATAAAAATCTCGGTCTAAGTGAGTTTCCCATAATCAAACCTTCCTTAGAGATGTAAATCTGTCCATTAAATTCAAAATAATTTTGGTCTAAAGATACTATTAAGCAATCTAATAAATCTTGTTTCACCAATCTATCACATCCATTGGTGGAATACTGGGAAATAAGTTTTGTACATCAAAAGACAATAGTTTTACGTTAGTAGGGATTTTGATGTCTTTCATTTTGTTGATTAATTCAAAAGAATTTTTTATTGCAAATTTGTGTGGAACTTTAAAATATTTACTAATTTTGTTGAAAGTTTAACTGCTGGAGCAGTATTTTTGTCTTTGACTCTAAATAGTGTGGAGTAATTACTTCCTTGGCTTGTCTTTGATTTAACTCCTTAAGATCCTGTTTGATGTGCTGTTTGATGACAGACGAATGAATTCTTTTTTAAATTACATTAATTCATTACATAATCGTAATAAAATTCACTATCGAGATTGAACAAGATAACTCTATTAATTTTTTAGACTTCACTATTACGAAAATGCAAACAAATCAGATTTTTTGATTTATCATAAACCTTCACACACGGACACAGTCATACATAACAGCTCAAATCACCCTTATACACACGAAATGGCTGCATTTCACTCTTTTATACACAGACTTCTTAATACGTCACTCTCAACAGAAAATCACAAGAAAGAACTTAATATCATTAAACAAATTGCACTGAACAACGGCTACAACCGTCCATTATAGATAAAATTATAAATAAAAAACAAACCCAGACAACAGTAAACTCCATTTATCCGAAACCTAATACACAACACGAACAATTTAAAACAATTACATACATAGGAGAATACAGTGAAAAATTTTCAAAACATTAGAAACAAAAAATAGAAAATTAAATTTATTGGGAGCCATGGAGATTAACAAAATGAGACATTCAAATGTATTGCTTAACGTTCAATTAGATTTAAATACCTCTCCTTTATTGAACTTGAATTCTCACAACATTAATTAAAGTTTTATTATGATTTTTCGGTATATACAGCAGCAGGTAGTTTGTAAATATTACATTTGATAAAGACACGGTGTTGTCGAAACAATTGTCATGTAAAAATATATGTAATTTCATGAAAATCTGAACTTTTAGTTCTTATTTATTTTCGATATATTTTCCATCTTAGGTCCTGACCACTATTGTCTATACGGTGAGTTTGAAAATCGCTACGTTTAGTTGTTTTCTTCAGTTCTCCAAACAGGTTTCTTTTAAGGCTTTCTTGTTTAATAACTTCTCTACTCATTCAAGTTTCATATACATTTTTCACAATCTATTTTGCATCATGCGACAAATGATTTCGACGCGAAATTGTTATATTCTCGTAAAATATTTTTGTTTATTGGGGAGAGTCGGTCGATAGACAACACGATGAAAACTGAGACAGAGTATAACTGTTGAACGAAATATATCCAAAAGATCAGCACCAATGCTTTAATTTGTGAACTTGAAAAAAAATGTTTCAAAAAAACAATAAATACACACAAAACCCAGTAAGTATCAAAAATGGACGATGTTTATGCTAAAAATCATTTATCGGCGTGATATAGACATTACAATAGAAATGGTTCTTTCACAAATTGACCTAGACGGCTAATGCCTATCTACGTTTTCGTGAAATAGAGATGTATATCTGTCCATAAGTGTTCTTGAAGAGTATGAAAAAGTGATGAGTGGGATGGGCAATGTTTCGCGTGCCGAGAGAGGCTGTCTCTTCTTGTTTTTCAGTTATCATGTTTTTTCGTTGAAGCGATTCCGGTGGACAAGTTTTGCCTACGTTCTAGGTACTTACTTACTTCAACTTACTCTGTTTCTTTGCTTTCTGATACAAGGCCGCTCTAAGTAATTGCATTGAGGACAAGTGACCATCCGAGGCCCGGGTCTCCAAGTCTCGACTAAAATATCTCCAATGCTTACTTAGGGTATAAATACTATAATGAAAACTTACCAGTCGTCTTGAAAAGAGCTTGACCGCTACGAGACTTAGTTCTAAATCTCACCGACGGAGAAGGTTTCTTTTTTGGGGCGTGGTCTAAAAAAACGCAATTTTTTGCATTCAGGAAAAATTTTATTCCAAAGATGTAATTGTTTAACCACGAGGAAAAAAGATTTCGAAAAAGTAAGTAGTTTCGACGTTAAATACGTCTGAATGCGATTCAGATCCGTTTACGCCGCAGTCTTTACGAGCCCAGTCGAAGAATTCAATATCCAATTTAATAAAATCGAAGTAGGAGAGTGAAATAAACACAAAAGCGAGCGGTTTTTATAACCCGCCAAGTCATATAATTCTGTTCGACCAAATATTAACTCAATTTCGGAAAAAATTCCAAAAGACCGAGGGTGTATAAAGTACTGAAATTATCGATTTGGACAATTCTTCACCAGCAAGCTTATACAGGCTGGCTTAATACGAACTGTCCACATTAAAATATTTACCCACTGAACTCTGGGAGCTATAATTTTCAAAAAGGATTATTTTTCCATTCCAATCATTTGGCTTAAATATGGGTTTGGGTTGGTATGGATTAAGTCTTCAAAGAAGGCTAATACTTCAAACAAAGGTAGTCGTGTATTGATCATATTTTTATATATATTTTTTGTTATCATTAAAATGCCTTTAGAGAGCCATCAAAAATTAATTATTAACATTAAATTTATTCTAACACAATCCAATTTTTCTACCCATGAAAAATCCGGGAGTCTACAGAAATCTATAAAGAACCTAACAATCTTAACCGCGACTCAGGTCATCAGTCATCCGAGACGGTGTTTATGTTACTCATTTAGCTCCGCCCCCCTCAAACAATATATAAACAGGTGCAGAGTAAAATAGGAGCCAGTTTTAGGCAAGCTCTGAAGAAGCCAACAAGATGATTGGCGAAACGTCAGCAACTTCGATTCAGCAAACACCGACGCATTAGAGTAGCCTGTGGAAGTTTCTTTCCCAATTTGTTAAACTGCCCACACATCTCGTATGAGGTCAGTTATTTCGTAGAGATACAGCCTCCAGGCTTTCAAGCTCCTACTACTCGTGACTATCAGGGGGGTCGATTGTGCGTTTCTGAGTGGTACGCTCTATTATTGTCTTCGAATGGGTTACTTTTTATTCTACACCACAATGCCACGCCATGTTAAGTCATGGTTAGCTCATTTCCGCTCCCTCGTTTGGATTGAGCCTAATGGCAATGCCTTTAGGTGAACATATATATCCGATTTTAGCACCTTCAACGCTGGATGGTTATTCCTCTGCCTAAGTTTCCTCCCAACATTCTAGAACAGAGCTGGACAGCATGCATTTTGGCTTTATCTCCCTCTCAGATGAGCAATTTTAAGACTTGTATAGGCTATTTTTATGTAAGTGGACCTTTTCTTGAGAAATATTTGTGATTTCTTTAAATAAAAATAAGATAGCAAAATGTTATTATTTGCTTTCTAGATAGTTCTTGTTTTTGCATTGTACTTTGTATTAGTTCTAGTTACTTTTTGGTTTAGCATGATTATGAAGAGATCGTGACCTTCAGTAACGGAGGTAGAACAAGAGGAAGCAGATACCCAACATACCTTGCGGAATTCTCTCGGAACTGCAGCGGCAAAACAAATCTTCGCGTGAAAAATGCGCCATTTCCAATTCAGGATGACGGCTCAACAAGTGCTCACCTAACGAGCAAGGGCATTCCGGATTGAAAGCTAATTTGTCGCCACATATCTGACATGTCAGCTGGTCCATCAACGCGCCCCGCCATGGACTGGAGACATATTTTTTTTGCGCGAGGTACGATTAATTTTGAAAAGCGGCGTCAAAAGGCTGTCAAAAAATTGGAACGCGCGGCCGCGACATGCCAAATTGTCCAAAGCGATGGACTCGGATGAAAAGATAACCAACACGATCAGTTCGGAGGACAATGAGAATGGCGAAATAAGGCACATTTTGAGTTCACTACTGGAAGACATTTGCCGATGCGAAGAGGATCCGTCAGGCCAGCACCACGGGCAACGTCGGTTTGTTTCCGCACCCGACGTCAGATGGCAACGCAATCGGGGGTCAAAAATTACAGGTAGGTCGCCATGTTGCACGGTGGGAGGAATAAACTATCTAGTAAAACAAAACTGTATAAGTATTCGATCATGGATACGGAAGCCAAATGAATATCTGTTTTATTATACAGGGTTTGTGAAAAGGTGGTTCATTTATATCAGCTCCTAATTTTTTAAGTAATCACTGAATCAGTCGTTTTCAACAATCGGATTATTTTCTTATGATTTTTTTCATGTTTTTGTGTATGTTTTTACTTGGTTAGGCATCTTCAGTAAGCTGTCCATGGTTTGGCATGGTTTAGAAAAATAGTTCTATATTTCAATGCAAAAAAGACTCAAACTATAAGATTTCGTAGCTACGAGGAACAGTGCAATAATGATATTGTTTGCTCAAGACGGTTCCACTATATCAAACGGTGATACAATTTAATTGTGGGTCAATTGGGTCGACTTGGTTCTACGAGATATTTTCACTAGGGAACAAATATTGAATTCGCGTTATGCGAAAATTGATTTTAAATTAAACTGTCTACTCACTATCTCTGATCTGACTTTCTAAATTAGCTAGTGATTTTTAAAACTCTGCACTTGAATTGAAAGATAAGAGTCGGAGGTTATATTGTTTTAAAAGACCCTTGAAAAAATTTTTATTGCCTAAATCACTTTTCAGTCTGGATGTTTTTTTTAGTATGACTTTTCTTTACTTCACTATTCCTAGTCAATTTTGTGATTGGAAAAATATACAACAAAAATAATTTTAATTATAAAGTATCTGATAACACAACGATACATAAGTCAGAAAGCTGTCAGGCTAGATCATAAAAATAATTAAGCAGGTTATTTGAATTAAAATGTCCAAGACAAATTTAAATAAAATTTTGATTACTACTTCGCAAATTATAGAGACGTCCTCGTTCGCTAAGATAAAAAGCTGCACTATTCGCAAAAATGTAAGTATTTTTGAACTATTACGGTACCTATCTATAAGGCAAGCAAAACGTAAAATTGACATAAGTGATTGTCTTTTTTAGAGTTATTTTTAAATCAAATTAAAGCTAATTTAAACTGTTTTTGAAAAACTTCAGAGTACACTCAAAAAGTTTCACGGACTCACGACAAATTCAATGGTCCACAGGAAAACTGGCTATTTGGCCGCTAGATGGCGTTTGTAAAAACTCTACAAATGATAGAATGCCACGTAACTTTTTTATATTTAAAAAAAGTTAAATTTGGAAATACTGAGCAACTTTTTATGTGGAGTACGATAATGTGTAATCTTAGCTTCAATTTTGCATGATAATCAGAAATGCCTTTTTTACCTTTATTTTTAAATTAAAATAAAGTTTAACTAATTTTTTCTTTAAACTTCAGAGTACACTCAAAAAGTTTCACGGACTCACGAAAAACTCAATGGTCTGCAAATGACAGAATGCTACATAACTTTTTTATATTTAAAAAAAGTTAAATTTGAAAATAGTAGGCAACATTTTATGTGGAGTGCGATAATGTCTAGGAAGGGTGTTGTGTTAACGAGTATTTAATGTATATTGGAGTGTATAATGCAACGAACATATTAATATTCATAAGAATAGTTAAATTTTAAAAAATATTTGCTATTTTCGTACAAAAAAATGGCTTCTTTTATTTAAGTTATTTTTAAAAATGAAAAATGCTCGTATAATTGTTTAAATTTTATAGTTACAACAAATGCTCTCTAAGTGCCACTTTTCAAAGATTCAGTGAGTCAGTGTCATTTCTAGAAGGAGTGTAGCGTGCTGCCCGTCCATTTACACAGCTTTATATTAAAATATCTTATATATTACTAATAATTCTCCTCCATTCAATATTTTTATTTACTATTACCATATTTCTGTGTATATAAGTTAAAAATATATTTGGAGGTCAAACCAAGCGACCCTATGAAAGGCACAGCAATTTTTCCGAACATCAAAAATATGTATTCCCATAAGAAAACAGCTTATTTAGCTCAACCCTGTACAGTAATAGAAAACTTAAATTATCTCTCTGCTAGTGTTTATAATTCAAGCTCAATTTAATAACTTAAAATATGCGTAATTTGAACCAAAACAAACTTACTCAGACGCTTAAAGTGACAAGCCAATTTATTAAGTTTGTTTCGTGGCCTGCTATGGTAATAAATCATTTTAATTATTTAATTTGTGGTTTTGCCTTTAGGGATCTTTCATTCCGTCCACTGTGAGATGGAACTTATCACAGTTACTATAGAAAGTCATTCGCAGGAGGAGAATTGATCAATTCTTCGACCGCGATGCACAACGAAATGCATATGAGGACGCCGTCATCGAAAATTTCCGTACCGAGGGTGCCGCCCTCCTACTCAACCGTCATAGCGTTTGGTCCACCAATCGCCATCTTTCCCGCCAATTATTCCTCGCTTTCGTTCATAACTCCTCGACCACCGCCATCTTATGCTGAAGTGCACGGAATTTGGGATGATCCTCCGAGCGATGTGTCTTGTAAGTCTATTTTTCAATCACTTCCATTTCCAGAGCGTTTTTAAAGAAAAACGCGCTTAGTAACTCGTTAAAACCAATTTTAAATCAGAATAAGCCTAAAAATCCCTATGCAATAAGCATATAACATACTCCGCGTCTTGCGATATAGCTTCGGCTAGCTTCGGTGTTGTTCGTCTGGAGAGTCCACGGCATAATCGAGAAGCGATAGATTAAAGCGCAAAAACCACTTTAACCGTTAACAATGGTGTAAAAGACACTGTAACACTAATTTCCATTTCTACGCGGAATTAGGCAACTAGTCCAAGCTTAAAGATGACGGATTTCGACAAGGACTCCAATAATATGCGATATTAATATTGTTTATTTCAAAATTGTCTATGGCCCACGATTTTTTGTCTTGTCACTTACTACGTCATTTCACAGAATACAATGTTATTCACCATGCGCAGATAATATTTTAAATAATGCTATATATCGTCGCCATATAGCTACTAGAATTATAAAGTACCCTGCCTAATGCTGATCAGACATTGCAGCATTCAACAACCAACATGGCCGCTGACAGATCGTCAGTAAGTTTGGATGCGACAATTTTAAGGGGGTATTTTCTCAGAATATGTCCAGATCCCATTAAATTTTCAGGCAAAGATGAGTTAAATGTGTGGATATCGCTGGTCGGAAAGAAAATGGGACAGAGTGGAGGTTAGTTGTGAAATTCTTGAAACACATCATTTTTTTCGTAGCGGGTCACTATATTATCTAATATGTAGTGTAAATTGAACAGAACAGACAAACAACCAAATTTAGATAAAACCGATCAATGCAGTGCCGGCTCTCATTTAATGCGTTTTACGCTTTATTCGAGATCTTCAAAAAAGGGTCAACATTAAAAATTGATGCTGATTGATTAGTTTGTGTATTTGATATGGGTCTGAGTTCTATCTTTATTAAATGCAGCCACGATTCGTGAAATGTCGCGAATTTTCGGAAAAGTCAGCTCTCTGGTTGTTTGTATATTCTGTGCCGATTGATTTTAGTTATCCCAAAGAAATATTAATATCCATTGTAGCACTGTAGTATGGTATAAGTTAAAAGTTAATGAATTTGCGTTCCAGCTGACTCGTATTCGCTGGGTCCGGATCCGATTTACGCCTCGTGTCCAAGATGTCGGACCATGGTGCGGACCGATGTTCACACATCGAGGTCCCAGTTGGCTTACGTCGCTTCGGCGTTCTTGTGTTTGTGTTTGTGCTGGCCGTGTTGCCTTTTGCCCGTCTGGCTGAAACCCTGTCAAAATTTTTACCATTTCTGCCCTGTCTGTCACTACTATATGGGCGCCTATAGGCCTTGCTGATTTTTTCGTACTTTATCATGTACATACATACTTTCAAAAACAATTGCTATGTTTATTATTGTTATATTTATAAGCTTTAGTAAAAAATATGAATAAACTAAACTTGCTCTACCAGAGGCTAAATTTGACCACAACTTAAAAATACATTTTAATTAAATTAATAACAATTAATATTTAAATTTTAAATGAAAACAATGGTTATGTTTTAAAATAACAGGGAGCCATATTTTCATATTTTTGTCTCAATACAAGATAAACCGTCAGACGTCAGCTGTAATTGTCAAAGCAATAGGAAATTACGCATGTTGGAAGCTAACCAAACATTTTTCTGTGCCCGCGTCAATTGTCATTTGTACAATGTGCAAGCCGTTTTCTCTTGGGAGTACGTACTGGTATTAATTTGTTTTCTTTGTTAATTTGGCAGCGATATATTTTGAACAGTTAGGTTCAGTTCAGGTTCGGTGTTCAGATAGAGAGGTTAGTGCTCTTAATTCCCTCTCTCCCACTAACACGTGTTCCTATTTTACCGGTGAGTTATATTAACTAACTAATCAGCATACAAATTACAATCCATTAAAGAGAACTGTCCAAACGGACGTCTTTGGGGGGATATCACCCCCCAACAAATTAAAAGAATTATAGGAGATGGCTCTCAAATTAATGAACTAGTTGAAAAGGAAATTATTCTGTATGAAAACGAAGATGTTGGCCCTTTCATAGTCTATATTGAATCCGCGGAGAAATCTGATCGTAATATAGGTAGATTTAACAATCTTAAAATAGCAAGAGAAATTTTTAACCTTCATCTCAAGGACGTTAAAAAAATTCACAACAAAGGTACAAACCGTATAGCGATAGAGTTTTTTAGATATGAAGCAGCCAACAATCTCCTAAAAAACCAACATATTTTAGACTAAGGTTTTAAGGTCTTCATTCCTTTTAATTTTGTCACAAGTAAAGGTATTGTAAGGAACGTAAATATAGATGAAGATATCGAAAAAAATTTTGAAAATATATGCAAATCTTCAGCAAAGATAATTCAAGCCAAAAGACTTAATCGTAAAATAATTGTAGATAACAAGACTCAGTATAAACGAGCCGGTACCGTCTTATTCACATTTCGAGGGGTTCTTCTACCAAAGCACATTTGCTTTTATGACCTTCCCCTTCCGGTAAACGTTTATATCCCCCCTGTCACTCAATGCTATAAATGCCTACTCTACGGACATACCAAGAAAAACTGCAAAGGCAGGGAAAAATGTTTTAATTGCGCAGACAATCCACATGAAGAAACCGACGATAGCTCAGACTTCCCCACTCAATACTCGTGTACCCAGAAATGTCATTTTTGCAGAAATGAACACAGAACTACTTCGAAAAGCTGCTCCGAATTCAAACGACAGCAAAACATTAAACGGATTATGACGTACGAAAACTTAAGCTTCCATGATGCCAACAAACTATGCGCTGAAACCTACAATAATAATAATGAAGTATTTTCATACCAACCAAACGAATTCCCTTCTTTAAGAAATAATACGGTTAACAAGAATGATAATTACACATAAAGGAACACTATATCCCCTTCCCAAAGACGGCTAGCAGCAACCAACTACCAACAAACGGTCTCAGGGGAACCCAACAAAAAAAGACTGATCCACAAAAGCTATGACAGACAGTCCCATGAAGACAATATTTACTTTCCTAATTCTAGACCGGAAAGAACACACGCTACAAATTCCCCTATATTTGACGATCTACAATCAACATTCCAGAACTACCAAAGAAATTAATGCCTCAAGTAAAAGTGTCCCTCAAGACATCCATCTAATTTAAAACGATATGATGATAACCCTACTTATAGATCTTTTAAGGAACTAGTCTTAAATTTACCAGAAGAAAAACAACATGAAATTAAAAACTTTATCCTTAACTATATGAACCTAAGTAATTATACGGATCTTGACGACCCTTGTTTTAATTAAATTTTAATATAACCAAATAAAATTCAATTCAAAATTAAAAATACTTCAGTGGAACGTAAGAAGTATCAATTCAAACAGAACGGAACTAATCTCATTAATCAGGGAACAGGATCCCGATATTATTTTTTTAAATGAAACCTGGTTAAATAAAGAAAAAAAATTTTCAGTTAAATCGTATAATATTATTAGACAAGACAGGGATGATGGATATGGGGAATAGCAACTTGCATAAAAAACAATTTTTTATACAGAGAAATAAAACAATTTAACGATAACCAAGTTCAATATATTATAGTTAAAATTGATGAACTTAATCTTATCAACATTTATTCTCACTCTAATAATAATATCAACTCCTAATTTTTACAGGAGCTTTATTCTAATGTTCAGGGTCCCTCTATATTGATGGGAGACTTAAATTCACATTATTCCCTTTGGGATTATTGTACTCCAAACAATGGAGAGAGAGCTTGTAATTCTAAATGATGGCTCTTCAACCCTACTTCAACCTCCCAATCAGAAAATGAGTGCGGTAGACCTAACGATTGTCAGTAGTGACATAGCTTATTCATCAAAATGGAGAGTCTTACCGGACTGTGGCAACAGTAACCACTTTCCCACTATGACAGTAATTAAAGATAGAGAATCCTACTCAAAAAACTCTTTTGTACATAATTTTTCAACGGTCAGAAATTATAGAAAAGCAGATTGGGGACTATATAGGGACAAACTTATATTAGACTCTTTACAGACAACACTGACATGACTTTCGAAGAGATAGAGACCCTTATTAATTCGGCGGCAGACATCGCTATACCCTTTGAAAACAAACAAAAAAGGTAAAACGGGGAAAGTATGGTGGGACGAGGAATGTACTCTTATAGTCAAACAACGTAAAGAAAAGCTAAAACAAGTTGAAAATGCTCCTACACTTGAAAACTATATACAAGCAAAAAAATATATTGCAATTGCCGGAAGAAGACTAAAACTCAAAAAATGCAATAAATTCATGAAATTCTGTTCGTCATTAAATAGAGATTCTGACACAAGATATGTATGGAAAAAAATAAAAAAAAATTCAAGCATAAATCAACACTCCAATAGACCTATCCTCGATGACGACCTTCGTAATGAAATCTTAAAAAAAAATGGTAATTTATAATGTGATTCCCGGCTTTACTCTAAGTCACATTCACATATATAAGCTATATAACAAATTAAACTCATTACACATTCCACAAGAGCTTAGATGCGAATGCGTTTGGTTCACAAAGGGTACTCGTAAAATTCCTCCTCCCCCTGTAAAAATAGGAAATCACCCCCTTCCATTTAAAAATGAAGTAAAATATTTAGGGGTCATTTTTAACAATCAACTTAGATGGGATAAATATATCAATCAGCAAGTAATAAAAGCCAAAAAGAATATAAACATAATTAAATGTGTTAACAGAGTTTGGTGGGGGTCTGATCCTCATACCTCGTTAATTTTATATAATGCTTTAATAAAATCCCATATAGATTTTTTATCCTTTATTGTTGGAAATACAAGCAAAAAAACAAAACCAAACTCAATAAGATACAATACGACAGTGGCAGAATTTGCTTAGGATGCATGAAATCAACCCCTACCAACGTCTTATTAGCGGAAGCGGGAGAAATTAACCTCGAGTTTAGAAGAAACTGGTTGGCCTCAAAATTTCTGGCGGGTCCCTTTTCAATTAAGGATCATCCCTTACTAACCTACCTTAAAAAGCTAAGAACGTTTTATATTCACGAAGACCGTTTTGGCAACCAGAAAAATCTCCCATTCCTCATCCAGGCCCTAGAAAATCCGTATCAGAATAAAATCCATAAAAAAGTCATTCCGCCTTGTTTTGGGTTTGATTATTTTAACCAAATAACCCCTATAAAAACATTAAACTTAAATATAAAAAAATCTGACCCTGAAATCTGAAAATTTAAAAACACTTTCCACTTCGTATATACAGATGCATCTAAAATTAGTAATAGTAATAGTTTTGGGGTTTACATTCCTGATATAGATTACAAATTCTCTTCAAAACTACAAAACGAAATAAGTATAACTTCAGCAGAAATAATAGCAATATATGAAGGGGTTACGGTTATTTTGAAAAAAATTCTTAAAAATGGAATATTTTCTGACTCTCTCAGTGCAATCACAAAATTAAATACCAACAATATTAAATACGCTTCAGAATTTCTAACTCTTACGACCAAACAACTCATAGTGGATGCAAATAATAATGATAATAACATTATTTTAGCTTGGATCCCAGGACACTCAGACATAGTAGGTAACTCAGTTGTTGACTCTTTAGCAAAAATAGGTACAAGCCTAAATATTCCAAAAACCATTGACTTAGATAAAAATGAAATTCTTAATATCATAAAACAAAAAATACTTCACCAACACAACAGACATTGGAAAAATATATTAAAATATAAGGGCAAGACTTATGCTAATATTCAAAATGAATTTCCAAAAAAAAAATGGTTTGACGGACAATAATATATATACAGAAGACATGTCACCATTATTACAAGGATGAGAACAGGACACTGTCTTACTAAACAGCACCTTTATAAAATAGGTATAAACGATAGCCCATTTTGCGAATGTGGAAAGATTGAGGACCTGAACCACATGTTCTTTGAATGCCCTATAAATGAGATACCCTATCTTGATATCTACAATTCTTTTATAAAGCTGGGCATCAAAGCCCCTCTTAACATATCTGCTGTTCTAATTAAACCCAATAAAAAGGTTACGGATATCATAATTTTCTTTTTTAAACTTTAATAAAATTAAACTGTAACGTAATATCTATCATTAATATTTTCAGAATCCATTATCACCAATAAATCCAACCTCTATGCCCTCTTCCCCCCATATGTTTGTATTACTAACAGATACCTCCATTACCGAATAATTTACTCTTTATTGAGCAAAGTAAATAAAATAAAACATCGTAGTAGATAGGAGTTCCCTGGAGCTCTGCTCGTCAAGCTGAGGACTCCCCTAATGAGCTGGCAGACTGCCTAGTTGCAAAGCCAAAATATTGACAAGAAGAAGAAGAAGAACAGTTAGGTTATGGAGGATTTTTGTCATTTTCGTTATGGGAGGATCTCTGCATTGTACTGGCATTGTAAATTAATTCGCGAAATTTTAGCTTCATAAGTGTTTTTGATGTATGTATGTTTTAACACATCCTTTAAACAATTTAATTATGTGAGGGTTGTGGCATTTTATAATGGAAATAAGTGAAAGTTAATGTGGCGAAATCCCTAAAACTTAAAATGTCTAAGATTAAATTGAAAATTTGTATATGTTAGTAGATGTCTGTTAAAAGCTTGCACGTAATTTTATTTGAGATAGTAGGCAATTTACTGAGTTTGGGTTACGTCTAAGCAAGATCAAGAGTAGAAAATAGAAGTATATGATAGATCCTTGAATGAATTTTTATTCCAACTAAATGTTGGTGTAAAAATAGGTTTCACTGTATTCTAATCTAAACACCTTGTATGATGACACGTGTTTGTAAGATAAAATCAAAAACGCATACAAGTATTGCATACATTTATTATCACAATAGCAAATCAAAGTAAAAAATGTTTGGCACCCAACAGAAGAATTAATACATTAAAAATCGTACTCACAAGAAGTGAATGTATAGTATATTTATACTTATTAAAATATTATTTATTCAGAAGAATCATTAAGTTTATGGATGGCTCAACCACTAATACAAGAACAAACCCATTGATCCAAGAAATGGCCTTAAATCTTTAGCCCAAAAAAATTAATCTAAATCCAAAATTCCTTGAACGCACATTTATTGACAAGAAAAAATAGAAATAAATTGGCGACCCTAATCTTTTAAAAACTTAAGACAAGTTTACCAATTTTCGACGAATAAAAATCAACTTAAGTAAAAGCTTAAAAAAAATGTTCAATTCCAACGGTGGGATCGAATTTGACTTGGACATTGCCCAGTTCCTGTTTGGCTTTGGCGGCCGTTTCCTTAACTCGGGACAAATTGACTTGGCTGTCATTGGTGAAAAGGGCACATCTAGAAAGTAGAATACAATAACTGTTATCAAAGGGAACCGACGAGTCCTTAATATGTGCTGCATTTAGATCATATTTTAAAAGCAGATGGTGTCTGCCCTAGTATTGAGGCCAACAATTTATATTCGAATAGCAGAGCTGAATAGAGAGAGAATTCCAACGGTGGGATCGAATTTGACTTCGACATTGCCCAGTTCCTGTTTGGCTTTGGCGGCCGTTTCCTTAACTCGGGACAAATTGACTTGGCTGTCATTGGTGAAAAGGGCACATCTAGAAAGTAGAATACAATAACTGTTATCAAAGGGAACCGACGAGTCCTTAATATGTGCTGCATTTAGATCATATTTTAAAAGCAGATGGTGTCTGCCCTAGTATTGAGGCCAACAATTTATATTCGAATAGCAGAGCTGAATAGAGTACGTGAGACAAAGCTATTGGGAGATATAAAAGCTGGTAGAGATCCCGACGTCAATCCTCACCAGACATGGAAATCCAAATACTATACCGTGGGGGTTGTTGAGTTTATATGTTTAACCAGCTGCACACCATTAAGGAACAGGCAATTAGGATTGGAAATTCAACTCCCTGAGCCTGAAGTATCCCTATCAAAAAGGGGCGTGTTCTTCCTCTGAGGACCCACTTTCAGAACAAGTGTGATTCGCTAATTGGAATGCTCCATTCATCATGTGATTTGTTTTTAAATTGCTAAATAGAATAATAGGCACTATGGAACCAATTTACTTATGACCAAGGTATAGCCAACAAGCAAGCAATAATTTTTTTTTTGTTGACTGAGGAAAACTAAGCGATAGTTACCACTCATGGATGGTGAACAATTTTACTTACCCACCCAAGCCGAAGTGAGAGTACGCTGTTATAGGCAGCGAACAGAGATAGCACATCATGGCGCCGCACGGACAGGTCATCTTATTGCAACCGGTGGATTTTATGAACTTCTTTTGGCAGCTGTAGCACGTCCTGAAAACTCAATTCGTCATCTAGGATTGCGTATAGCCTTATTAACGCATGCGAGCGATATGCTATAAGGAGAATGTAAAAAAAAACAAATAAAGTTAGAAACTATAAATACCGGCTAATCTTACGCCTACGTAATGACCTGAGAAATGTAATAGAAATCAGTATTCTGGCGGGTATTGATTTTCAGGGACACCTGTAGAGAATCCTTCAAGAAAATGCAAATTCTAACACTTTAATCTCAATAAATTTTGGAAAACCTCATGTATATAAAGCTCCATATAAAGGGTTACTTAAGTTTACATTAGCTAATCGTTGACTAAAGGGGCACCTAAATGATCCGGCGTATTTTTCAATAAAACTTCTTAAAGTTCTTCCAGAAAATATTAAACTTTAAGTCAGACAAATTATACAAACTTAAAATTCTGCTGGTTGATAAAAAATTTTACTGTATTGATGAATTTTTGAATATTTGTTTTGAATAAATCTGTCGTAGGTGTGAATTTTATTATACTTGTATACGTAACCCAACGATATACCGCTTTTACGACATAATCCGGCATTTAACTTTGATAAATTTTTATGAAGGTCTAACCACAGGCCTACCACGCTTGGGTTTCTCTTTGTAACCCTCAATACATAGATTCTCATTTCCCCAATGATGCTGTTACCGTCACTCCATCCTTTCTTGACGGTATCGTGGCTGCTATTAAACCAGGTCTCATCTAAATATATGATGGGGACGTTTTTAACACGAATTTTTCCGAAATTCTTCTCGTGTCTCGAGTCCTTTGGCAACAGTCAATGTTAAAAATACTACGCAACTCTTTATGTAAAGTTTTAATTGGTAAAGCAATATTCTACTGATGCGCATCATACATCAACCGTCCACTATTCGGGCATATGCAAGTACATTTTTTGGGACCCCACGATCTTTCCGCGTTATTCTTTCTTGGGCACCATCCACAATTGCGTCACACTGTGGCATATAGTGTTTTAGTCATCTCGGAGATTAATTTTACGGCTCCACTTTCCCCAGATGTCGATTGCCAAAACAGAAACACATTAAAAATTATAATTACGTCATCGACCACAATCTCAATTTCTTTGTCACTGGACATTGCAAGTGACTATCAAAATTGAATAATGTTAGTACTTGGTAAGCAATAAATTATAAAAAAACGTATAAGGTACCTCAATAAAAATGGCACACTGAATCTTGAAAAACATTTGAATAACAGTAAGTTTTTAATTATTAGTTACAAATGCTTTGCTACGAAAATATTTTAGAGTTGGAAATCAGTTTAAGCTTTCTCATGCGTTTTTAATATAGGAGATCAACCTATCTAATGGATAAATCCAACTTGAAATCGAGCTACCTTTTAGGAAGATTTATAAAAAGCACACTCTTATGAATTGATAAACAGTTTAATCAAAGAAAATTTCCTTACTCTTAACATACAACAGTCCACAAGGCACAATTTTTGTCGATTAACATCTTAAATAAACGTCCCGAAAAAAATGGTCTTAAACTCATACCGAAGTCAAAACCATAAAAGGTTGTAAAAACGGTATATCGTTTGGCGAACTTTATAAGTACTCACTCTAATAGAATGTCAACGTCACTTATGTACCATGGCATCAATAAATAGACTGATTGATAATTGGCTCTGTTAAGGTAAACCTAAATAAGCGAAGTTTTAAGCACCTCGTTAACGCTTCAGTCATCTTGTCCTCGATAAAGGTGCGCCGACGCACGTCTTCGTCATACTCGACCTCGCTGCACCTGGCGGGGATGTGGGACTCGTGGCCACACTGTCGGCACGACTCTTTTCCGCAGTCGGGATTCTCGCACTGGAAGACGGTGCTGCCCTCAACCGGGATAGCGGCGAAATCGCAAAACGGACACGTCTCGAGACCTTCGATTTTGGCCCGCTTGATTTCCTCGCTCTGTACGCGCAACACTAGCCGTTCGAAAGTTTTCTTCGGCAGCACCATCTAAATAAATAAGTAGGCTATGAAAATGTATGATGCTATGGTCTGAAAGCGACAGCCACGACTGACTGGTGAATAGAATCAGAATAACACTGAACCAAAGGGCAAATCGACAACTCTAATTTAGGCGTTCGAGTTGGTAACCCAGCATATTCCATTGGTTCATTCCAAGATAGAATGTCCTATAAAATGAACCTCAAAACCGAGGAACCCTATTAGCGATGAACAAAACAGATATGAAAATTCTGAATGGGAAGTGATCCTGCAGTCATCAAACATCACATGCACAAAAACAGCAGTGCATGCAATGTGTAGAAAAGGTACTCAAAATTTTTAATTGTTGAGGACGAAAATGACAATTTTCTGGTAACTTTCTTTCTACAAAGGCTAGGTTTGTCAAGGAGCGAACTCAAGGAATAATTAAATTTTGAAATCCTTCAATCTTTGTAGAGTAATATGTCTCATCGACACATTACTTACAAAACAAAACCGCAAACAAATATTAAAAAAGTAAAATCAATTGTCACCGCTCAAAAGGCGTGATACGGATGGATTGTGCCACACTTTAAAAAAAAAAAAGCCAACATGAGTCAAAAATGCAAAAGGAGATACGGAAATGTCGAAAAGTTAAAGAAGAGGCAAATAAAATTTTATCTGGCTACAAAATTTAACAATAAAGTAGTAAGTAGTAAAGTAGGCTATGATTTATTGATGATCACAAACAACAAAAAAATGAATTTATTTTGACATTAGTTTTAAATGCGTATTAGCGACGCGTCAAAAATAGAGCAACATTTCTAAAATTTGTTCAAAAAGACGCCTTTAGTTAAAGTAAATGCAAAAATAACTCGTGTTGGGTTTATTTTGTGCTAAGTTAACCATTTGTGTGCAGGACTAGTTATGCCAAGAGGAATTACAATTTCAAAAGACCTAAAGCAAAGAGTAGTAAATGCATTTATGGAAGGTACCAATCAAGCTGATATTTCAAGACAGTTTATGTTACCTCGGTACAGCGCATCTAGAATAATTTCATCGTATAATGACAGAAGACACTTAGAAAAAATGCCGAAATCGGGAAGACCCAAAAAAACAACGGTTTTGACAGACAGGCGCATTAAAAGAATTGCTCAACAAGCTCCTTGGAAGTCCGCACCTCGAATAATTGCCGAAATTCCAGAAATTACGGTTGGTATACGAACTGTGCAAAGAAGATTAGTAGCTTCAAAGTTGTTCAGTAGACGGACAGCAAAAAAACCGCTAGTTTCAGCAAGGTTGACCTTTGCACGCCGGCATTTAAACTGGACCGTCAATAACTGGAAAAAAATTCGATTCAGCGATGAAACGCGATATAAAATATTCAATTCTGATGGAATGCGACGTGTGAGGCGACCAATTAATACAAGGTTTAACCCTAAGTACGTAACACCTACAATTAAACATGGTAAAGGCAGTGTTTTTTTATGGGGATGTTTCTCATGGAATGGAGTAGGTCCTATACACTTCATTAATGAGACAATAGATCGATTTGTTTATAGGGAGATTATGCAAAATGTTATGCTCCCTTATGCAGAGTGGGAAATGCCGTTACGTTTTATTTTCCAACAGGACAATGATCCAAAACACTCTTCACAACTCGTTCAACAGAGGTTTACAGAAAACAATGTTAAAGTTTTGCAGTGGCCGGCACACTCGCCAGACCTTAACCCAATTGAAAATCTCTGGGAAGAAGTAGAACGTCGCATTCGTACACAAATGTTTCCAAATAAACAATCGTTGATAGATAAAATTAATAAAGCTTGGACAAATCTTCCAGAAAATGTCACTCAAAAGTTGATTGAGGCAATGCCGCGCCGTTGCCAGCAGGTAATTCTCAATAATGGATAATCTATAAATTATTAAGGCATAATTTTAATTATTATGGTACTAAAATGTGCGTTTAATGTTTTTTTTTTAATAGAATATAATACTGTTAAATACAACTTTTTGAAATAAAATAAAATAAAACACTGTTAAATACAATTTGTTGCTTTACTTTTGTCGCCTTACTTGCTATGGAAAGTATTTTATCATAACTAGCAAAAAATATGAACCAAATTTTTTTTTATTTAAAAAATACTAAAAAAATATGTTTGTTGCTCTACTTTTGTCTGATTGTGTACATGGCAAACTTTGACAAATAAAAATGATATCGCTGTATCTGCTTCTCTTTAGCTAGGTTGTTGAATATTTGAATAAAGATTTTGAAATATTTCCACTTTACCGAGCGCTCCGTTGAAATCAAACTTTTTACTTCGTTTCTCAGGTTCGTAACTTTAAAACGCACGTTTTTATAAGTAAGCAATAAGCATACTGATGCCAAACTATCAACAAACCAAATAGTGTAACAATAAAAAAAATATTGTGTCAGCGTGTGTAATTTTGCGTCCTGCAAAAAAATTTACATGTACAAAATAAAAATATAAACAGAATTTTGATTAATTGTCATATCTTTCAGCAATTTTGTGTTTAGTTGTTTAATTTTTTTTTTGAGCACGCATTGTTTTTTTGAACTTGTTCATTCATCGCATAGCATCGCACCTGTAATCGATTGAGACCGAATTCCGAACCGCAGTCCTCGAAACAGGGAAACGTCAGGTGGCCATCCGCGATTCTGGTCTCAACACCCTTTTGGACGCAGTCCTTGCAGAATATGCAACCCGCGCCGCAGACAAAGCATTCTTCGGGGATGAGCTCGTCGTCGTAGCACACGCGGCAAGTCTCCAAAATGTTCAGTTTTCTGGCTTCTTCCTTACATTGTCTGTAAGTGTCGTCCTTATATTTTATGAACCGTTTAATCATCCTGCGATGTTTCAAGTAAGCCATCTAAAAGGGAGTAAATAAACAAAACGGTCATTATTGGCTAAATTTATTCTAATGTCACTTTGGTATTTATGGGATCCAGGCATAAAATAAAATTCACGATTCACTTTAATCGTTAATTTTTATACTTTATGTTGTACTTTCAACGATGCCTAAAAAATAATAAAAGATAATGGTAACCTAAGTTTCTTTGGTTGAAAGGTATAAAAAATATACTAAATTACAGTAAATCTTTTAAGTAAGAATTCTTTTTATTCTTGCCAGGTTTAAATTTATTTTCTTGTCTTACACCACCGAGGTGCGTAGGCGCTATTTTTAAAAAGTGAAATATGACGTAAAGAGAAGAATCATACCTCTTGAAGAAGTGGCAGATTTGTGGTTTTCAGCTCCACCTCCATTGAACGTTTATTCCTGAGACCCTTCCTAATCGTGTCCAATACATCGCAACATTCAATCAGTCTGTCCTTTTTCCTAGCAAACACCAAATCTATGTGTCGCTTACGAATAAAAGGGTACATGTTGTATAAGAATATTTTGGCACAGTTTACGTCGCCCTCGTTTCCTCCTAATTCATCAGAGAAGAAAGATTTTCTGGTGGGTTGTCGGAACGTCATTTCGGGGTTCGGAAACAGTTCCAAAAATAATTCTGGATCGAATTGGTCTGTATAGAAATTTAATGCCTCGTTGTCTTTTTTCTGCCTGAAGCAAATAGGTATGTGTGATAGATTGGGTTAAAAGCATGCTTTATAACCTGTAAGCTAAAAAGTGGTTAATAGAGGGCTTAAACACAGTGAAATTGGCGGCTATGTAATTTTTGTATAGGAGGGTATGCGCTTAAATTTCGCATTAGAACCCCGTTTTTTTTTATTAAACGGCGATCCCCACACATTTAGACAATACTTCCTTAAAAACGCTGTCGAATTCACAGTGGTCAAAAAAACTGTCAGTAACAATAATATGCGTATTATTAATTTCTAAGTTTGACATGTCAAAAGTTGTTCAAAAGATTTCCAATTAAAATACATCTCTTAAATTTTAGATTATTGGCGTCCGTCCTTAAATGATGGGTGTTGATGATACATTAAAATACATCAAGAATTAATCATCAATCTCTAGGCCTTACCTAAAAAACTTCAATAAATATTTCTTCAACTTTTCATATAAAAATTATGAAACAATTATATGTACTAATTAATGCCAGCTCTCAATGCATTTGGTACTAAAGACATATGACAAAATTTAGTATAAAAAAATCAAAGCAAAGTTTTCTTACTTAAGATAATCCTCCATAGTTGGGTAACTGTTATTTTCAATGGCATCACTAACAAACTGTTCCAACTCTGCACTACCCAAAAGCGCTAATCTTTCTGCCTCCTTTTCTAAGTAACTCGGATCGGCTCCGGGCAAAGCCTCCTGTAACCTATTGAAGATTACCAGAGGATCTTTATCCCGTTTTTTGTAATCAGCTATGAATTAATTATCAAAATTAATTATATTCAATATTCGACCTTTTTATTTTATTACCCTGAGTTAAATAGTCAATAGCATCGTCCATATTAAATCTGCTTTGTTTTGATTGGCAGTAGTCCCACAGGAAGTCAGGATCGGCATCGCCAAAAATATTAATGAGATGATTGTAATTGGCATTCAATGCTCTATCATGTCCACTATGATTTCCGAACCGCATAGGTACAGAATCGGATACAGGGAATGAGTTCAGTGTGCTGCAGGGGTTATCATCTTCTAACTGGCCAGACATTAAATTTACCATATTTTCAATTTTTTCATCTGGACTATCCCACGGATTTTGTTCCTCAACTACTTGCATTACAAAATCGATGACTCGGTCTGATGCGTTAGGGAACATCTCTCGAAGGAACGGTTTCACGGTCCCAGAATCCATTGCGTTAGTCAAATTTTAGGAAGCCAAAATCTACTAATACAGTGAAAGAATCACAAAATATCGCCTACTGTTAAGTTTGGTGGACCCCCGAAAGAGATGTCAAAATACAAAAGCACCCGTAGCAAGTCTTATCAACGAATATCTATCGCAAAAATAAGTTCGATTAATTGTATGGTACTCACCGTTTATCTCAATAAAAGATAATGTAATGTAATACAATTTTTCTCAACAAAAATAACGACCACATACACAACCTAAAACGCAAAATACGAAAGCCAAGCATTTTACCTAATCTGTGGTGCAGCACAGAAGACATAACAGTAATCGAGAAATAGGTTGCCCAAATCCTCAAAGACTTGCATTGAATTTAATGAGTGCGCTGTAAAAACAATTTATCGAAACCACCTGCTAAACAAGATCTCTAAAATAATTGCTAACATCCTGAAATTAAAGTAAAACTCGGATGCACTTCTAGAAACAGGTTGTTATAAAAGCTGAATTCCTTAGCTGTCGTTAAAATAGGATTTAGGACCCATTTTTTAGGCATTCGAGAAATTTATTTTTTTTACGAAAAATAGATACAATGACCTCTTAATTTATTTTATCTATGTAAAAACGGTAAAAAAAAACTTAAAAAAAACGCTGACTCGTTATTCCACAGTGCAAATTATTCCGCCAATTTTTTCCAAAATCATTCGGACGTGAGCCGCAAACGTGGTGAATTTTGATTCTGTAATGACGGATTTCGTTACGTGTATTTATCAGGAACTCAGAAACAACAACAAGTAAAACGTGGTTCGCAGTTTCTGCCTTCCTACGACAAGAACTTCCATTTCGATTGAATTTTTTTATTGGACAATGGTTCAGACCAAGTGAAAATTAGCCAGTCCCGTATCTAAAATAAATCGACAACTGAGGAACTTGTGGGTGCAGAGACATATCATAAAAACTAAACTTTGGATAATGTTGAGCTCGGTGGTTATTGAATTAATGAGTTTTATAACTGTGCGTAGAGACATTTTGTTATATATTTTGTTAATATTTTCTATTAGGACAACAGAGGAGCTGAAGAGATGTCCTCGAAATTGTTTAAACAATTTATTGGTGCCGTCACCCTTCTCTTTCAACCGTTGTTCTGTGGTATTGGATACTGTGGTTCTGTGGTATCAGGACTATTAAGATTCTGACGAAATATTTGCGCATATATAAATCAGTTTTACGTATAGATGAAAAGTTGTATTCTTTTTGAAAAATAATATAAGTTTTCTGATTTATCAATTTTATTTTCATATGCTCCTGGCATTATTGACTAATACATATTTTGCTACATCACAAACCAACGATTCCATTTTTTGCGTATAATTTTGGTAGCGGGCGATCAAAAATGGGCTTTGCCTTCTCGTATATGTTGCCTGAAATAAAAAAATTGTGATAAAACTCAACCTACGGCATACACTAATATAATGTAATGTAATGAAAATTGAACTATTTTGTGTACATTTTTTTTAAATGCGAATAGAGAAGCTAGCCAACAAATAGAACGTGTTAAAGTATACCTTTTGGAGCTGTTATTCGGTTAGAATTAATCCCAATGACCAACAAAAGGATCACAATCATAAAGAAGTTGCAACTAAAATTCATTTTTAATGTCTATAGACAAAAAAACTGATTGTTTTATATATTTGCATATATTTGCCTGGGGGGGGGGGAGGAGGCAATCACTCAGGGGATTTTTGGGTTTTTAGTGGCATTATGAAAAAGGGGAATTACTGATAAAGACCTGATAATTACGATTTTCATATATTACCACATATATCTCATTAGTCAACAAAATTACAAATTACAAAATGTACACAGAGCTGTTCACCAGAATTTTTTTGCTTCATCAAAAATCCCTTTGCTCTTGGAACAATAAGGGCCTCCCATTAAATATAGAGGAGTGAACTCCCGATAGGCTAAACATACTCTACGTTCTCGAATATCTTCCCTTAGAATTTGATGCTCCCAATCGTATCTTGCGGAATCAAACATAACAAGCAAACTAAATTTAGGCATAGGTACCCTTACAATGGGATAATTTACGTCCATTTGCATGGGTCTGACTTTGTAACATTCACTAACACTATTTACCATTCCTTTTGCATCTAAAACTTTGTTATAAAGTGAAACACATTCTAAATTATACTTATTTGGCTTATTATTATAGGTCAAAGTAAGCACAGAATCACTTAGTAGGTTCACTGTAACGATCCTTTCACCCCATATCCAACAATCGTCAATGTGTGGATCTATTGATGCCCCTCTGAGAGGATCATATTCCAAAGAACATTGCTCGATTGTTTGAAAGTCTTTTAATATAGTCACATCATAGAACTTATCTTGAATGAATTTGGAAAATTTAGGGAAACCACAAAAATCGCCTAATTGTAATTTTCGTTTCTTGAAATTACATTTTGGACCGAAATTTTGTTTCCTCCTGCCGCTTTGAGATAAATCCCATGGCAAACTATCTATGCCTGTGATAACATTGTCGTGTTCATTTTCATTCAGAAAACCTAAATCAATATATATTCCAGGAAAATCCAACGGTTCGCCTTTGTGGTTCGGATGCGATTTGTAATCCTCGCAGTCCCAACCGGGCCATGCTGCATTGCAATAGGGACAGTACACGAATGCATTCCTACTTTTCTCTAAATAAGCGAAGTTTTGTGTAATTTTATATTTATCTTCGCAAATTAAACAACTTCTGCGGCCTTTGCAACCACAAGGACGCGGTTTGTCCATTTGCTTAATTTGCAATTTAAAATTAAAATATTTTTTATAATCAAGGCTAGATCCACGGAATTCTTGTTCTTCTTTTCTTATCTCGTTAGGCAAGTTAACTAAGGGCACTCGCTCATTACTAAATCCTCAAAATAGCAGCTCTAGATTATAGAAATGTTTGGATTTTTGCGTTACTTATATTTAACAAACTGTACAACAAATTCGGCGGGAATAAATTCGGAATCACACAGATACTCACTTAGCAGTTTTATTCAAAAAAGATGTAGGAAGTTACATTCGAAACGAATCAATAACAATTACTAACGATGAGGCATGATAGAACATATCAACAGCAACATTATCAAAAATATTCGAATATCGAAAAATAGCTTTTATTGCACTAGACAAATGCTGTTTCTTCTTTCATATAGAAAAAAAATGCGTTTCGCTACGTAGCCCCATATGTAGGTAAAAAACGCCAGATGTAAATAAAATTACTTAAAATTAAAGATACATAAACGATGCTACAAATTATGATATGATCGAATACAAAACTATAGAATATGTCACAAACTTATTGATGACGACACAGCATTATGGATTCTATTTACATTGTGAGTTAGGAATTGATTACTCAATGTAAATGTCTTCGACCGGATACGCAGTCTCGATGAATTTTTGGTAGAACCTCTGAAACGCCCGCCTAGAAAAAATTGTAAATGAACAATTTAAACCACAAAAAAACACACAAGTAACCAATTTAGTGTCTTTGAATAGTAACTCTTCTTTTTTCAATAACGGCAGACAAAAAAACCACAACTGACCCTTGCTGTTTTCTATGACAAAGGCTGAATTTAAAGGTTAATGGGAAAACCGCAGTTTTAATTGTATTTGTATTTGTATCATTTGTAGTTTATTTAATATTACTGTGCACTCACTTATGTCTGAAGGTAAGATTTGTTTTGAAGAGATAATTTTGTTTATTTCATTGAAAATTTTAGAGGAGGTTATTAAGCGGCGCCTGATATTTGATGGCGATGGTACTGGAGAAGATCGTCGGTTAAATGTATTGCTGAGAACGGTTTCCAAATGGATAAATTCGAACGAGGATGCGGAAGAAGAATCTTCGCAAATTTATGACAAAATCTTAGCCCATTTAGCTCTAGTCAAACATTCTAGAAAACGTTCGGAATATGTGGCAAAGTCAAATGCCGAACAGCTTCTAAAATATAAAGCGCTGTACGCACAATATGAAACAAATATAAATGAAACAAAGGAGGAAATTATTAAACAAAAGGTCAAATTACAAAACGCAAAAGTTATTAAGAATAATCGCATACAATATGATCTCCTGGCTAAAGCCATTGCTAAGGAGCCTCGGCGAGCTGATATGATAAAAAAATTAGAGGTTTTGCAAAAAGATCTTACTGATCTGGCGGAAGAAAAGAGGCAGCTAGACATAAATTTGGAGAAAAGGAGGAAACAATTTCATGTTTTAGCTACATCAGCAAATGAGTTAGAAAACATGTTAATTCAAGATCATATGTATCAATCAAAGTCAGACTGTAAATCTGAACCTATGTCTGAATGATTGATTATAATGCAGTAATACTAGTAATAAATATATGTAACTTTATTATAATTTATTGTGTAATATACTTCGAGAGGGATGAATCCAGGACAAACTTATTAAAAAAAAAAGCATAAAAAACTTTTCTCTTATAGATATTGAAAATATGTAGGAACTAAATTTTAATTCCTAATGATTTTTTAAAACCACCTATTGCTATTGCAGCGACATAACTTTTTAAAGGAGTTTGTAAAACTTGAAACAACTTAAATTTCCGTTGCACCTTGTAATTATGGCTGATTTCAAAGTTGACTTTTTTTGCTGCTCCAAAAATTATTTATAATTGAAAACACTCTTTCTTCCTCTGCATTAGCAGAAAGGTAGACAGAGTGCAAACTTAACTATCAAAGATATGCTTTTTTGTACAATTATCAAAATCTTCAAGCCATTGGACACAAACATTAATATATCATTAGTTTCTTTCAGCTTTTCAATGGTTACAGATTACTTTATCAAAGATATTTCTTCAAATAGTTCATCTACATTGATCAATGTGTCATTTTACAACAAAACAGTTTATATTGCGGGTTGAATTTTCGTGTAATGTTTAATTGCAGCGTTGGCAATGTTTATTAATTATCTGGGAGATATCCAGGACAGGCCAATCCTGTATGGTTGGTCAGCCTGGTATATATATCTTTATTTATTGTCATATAGTCAAATGCCTTCTAAATTTCATAAAAATGACTTGCGTTTTCCAATATGAAAATGATACCTATATTTTACAAAATAAATGTAAAATCAGGAAAAATTGGCTACCAGCTGCCAAAATTTTTTACGAATGAATTATTTATTATGATTAGTTAAATCAACTACCAACACATACATTACTAAAAAAAACTAACCTAAAAATAGGTGGCAGTCACTTTTAATCATAGACAACAGATGTTAGTTTTGGAAGGGTTTAGAAACTAGTGAACGAGAAATGACGCTATATATGGCGTCATTACCGTCCAATCATTTATATTCGGATTTGAAGTGCGACTTACCCTACCGCTTCCGCCACAGGCCTGGTCGAGTCTTGCCCCCTAAAAACGTGACAGGCGAACCTCTGCAGCGTCGGGTGCTTCGTTATGAATCCCAAATAGCGGTGATCCCTGGGATGAAACGCGCAAAACGACACATTCTTCAGGGAATAAAAGTAATCTATGCAAGGATCGCTTTGCTGAAAAAACAAACATGAATGTTCGTTAGCCGAGGTTCAGTTTGACCCGGGGCATTTTACGTTTCGTTTCCTCCGGTCGACCATCCTCAGGCCCTGGTCGGAGACTTCGAGGGTGCAGGGCTGCAATTCGGGTTCGCCGCCGTGATTGCTAATCACGCGCCGGACAGCCTGGCACACCACGGGGGTACCTTTATGCGCTAGCGTTTCCACCGATCCGATGTAGCCTCGAGATGAAAATTTGAGATTAGAAAATACTTGCGCAGGGCGTTCCGTTAGTTTTTAAACGTTAAATCTCATGAAAGACTTGGATTGTTTATCGAAGTATCGTTCTGATGTTATTTCTCGAAAATGAGATGAAAAATTAAGGTTAGGAAATACGTGCGCAGAGCGTTCCGTGAGTTTTTAATCGTCAAATCGCAATAAAACTTGAATTGTTTATCGAAGTATCGTTCTGATGTTATTTCTCTAAATTGAGATGAAAAATTGAGGTTACGAAATACGTGCGCAGGGCGTTCCGTTAGTTTTTAAATGCTAAATCGCAACAAAGAGTTGGAATGTTGATCGTAAGCGGATCGTTCTGTTATTTTTAAAAAAAAAATTATTACAAAATTAAACCTGCTGCTAACTTTAGCGAATTCCTTGCGTGATTTCACCACAGTTGATATAAATAAAGGTCATACGATCGAAAATGGATATTTTTCACGATACAAGGTGTCAAACTTAAAAAATTCGTATTTTTCAAAAATATCTGAAACAGTTTCTTAGATTATTTGATTTAAATTCGAAAGTAATGTTTACGATAGTAAGAGGCTTATCTTTATTTAGATTAAAGTTATTAATTCCAGTGGCGCTCTGGAAAGACGATGTATTGCCAATATTATTGCACGCCACCGACTTTTAATTTTTAAAATTTTATGTTTAAAAGTAAAAAATGTTTAAATCTTTTTAACCACCTATTAAACAACAAAAATATTTGTTTTAATATTGGGTCCATTATAGTGCAAGAATTAAATATTTTGGGCATAAATACAAAAAGTAAACTTATTGTGGTTAGTCATATATATATGGGTTGGCGTTTTAGTAAAAATAAACGGAACCTTCTTAATTGCATCTTTTTTAATATGACGTCGCAAGTTGATAGTAGGAATTCTATTTGCGATGTTGCCATATCAAGTTGACTCAACCCTTCAAGAAACTCCTACTATCTTAGTACGGTTTCGGTTCGTTTTTGATGTTTTACCCAAAAGGTATCTTTCGCGGCGGCCGTGTTCGCAAGATGAATCCCAGTCGCTGTAGTCGCTGTCTACGGCGTAGGCGGATGGAAAAATTCCCATTCTGCCAGTTCTTAAGTTTACGCCTAAAAAAAACAGAGAAGTTTGATTTTAACCTACACCTTTTCACCTACAATATGTTGTAGTAAAATATGTAGCCATTTGACAATATGATGGTCGCAAGCAAAGTAAAAACTCAGACTTGAATTGACTCGTATGCGCATTTTGATTGGCCCTACCTAATATTTCTTTCAGAATGGCTTCCGTGGCTCTCTCTGTACTTATATGCCGCAAAACTATTTTTACCTATTTTTTAACATCAACTTATTTGGATTGTTTTTCCTTTTTTTGCTAAATTTGCTCAGCTTGACGATTTAGAATTTTCGGGGCGCATGTGAACAGCAATAAAGAGCAATAATTGTAGAACACTGTGATTTAATCTCTGACAATATATGTTTTATCTCCTACTTTTGTTTATGTCCTTGTGTTTAAATACTTGTAAGTCCTCGTGAAGTTAGCAACTTTCACAAATTAAAATGCTTCTTGTTAAACCACACAAGTATGTAACCAAAACCCCTGCATTGGAATGCTATGACACGAATAAATACATTTTTAGTATTTTATTCCTCGAACCCTGAATATTCGACCCCAAAATTGAAACGTTTATTTTTTTTATGGGTCAATAATTACTCGCCTTCGCACCAGAGGTCGTCGGCTTCTTTTTGTACGTAAATCGGATCGCCGATTTCAACTTCGATTTCGTCGTCGTGACGTGGCACAAACTTGTGCAACCCCCTGTGCGTGGGCTCCAGCATGTCGACGTCATTGTAGACCATGCCACCCACGATTGACGGGGAACTGCCCATCAGAGGCGACATCGATTTTGGCCCGTCGGTTCCGGTGGGCGAATGAGCCGTGCTGTGGCCGCTGTCTGCGTCCGTTAACAATCTGCAAAATTTATAATAATTAACGTTAGGATCTGGCCGGTTTATTTCAAAATTTTAAAATTCAAAATAAAACCCGGTAGATGATAAAACTGCCCACAAGCAGTCATGGCCGAGCGGTTAAGGCGTCTGACTAGAAATCAGATTCCCTCTGGGAGCGTAGGTTCGAATCCTACTGACTGCGATTTCTTTTGTGTGCGTTTTTTTTATTTCATAATTTTGAAACTTGAAAATAACCCATAATAGTATATAATTTTTTTAAACAGATATCAAGTAAATTGAAAACTAGTACATTTAAGGTTGCGCAAGAATGTCGCAAAGTATTATATAAAAAAAACCTTTTGAATAGATTATACAGAGTGTTTTATAAATGCATGTCAATATTTTTGGGTATTAAGATTAAGATTCCTCCAAGAAATTCTTATACGACACCCTGCATTTTTGTTAAAGCGAGGTTGCCAACTTATTCAGAAAAAGACGTTTTATTTACCTCCTACAGCTTTTAAACTGCTGCCTTTATATTGGCAAAAATAGACGTTTATATTAGCGAACATTACTAACGGAGAAGAATAATTATTTATTTAAATAGAACACCTTGTACCTAACTACTTTGTCGTCTGTCGTTAATATTTGTATTTTTGTACATTTGGGTTTCAACAAATGAAAGGTTTAATAATTTATTAATAATTTTTGTTATTACTAAATAATCAATACAATATAAAATACAATTTTATACGACAAAAGATGAAATAAGAATTAGAGATATACATTGTCTAAATGTGAATGTGAAAATATATTGAAATTTGATGTCCAGAGAGGCTTTGGTTAGTGTCTTCAAAAAGGTGTTTTTTTGTTGTTTTGAGGTGCCTCTTTACTTAATTCCGAGCAATCAATGAACATCATTACAAATTAACAAAATTTTTAAATTTGGTTTACTAAAACAATTTAGTTCGTAACAGAAACGTACTTTAAAATAGGCTCATAGCCTGCTTATCTATCTGTCTACCTGTCATATATAGATGTTATATAGATGTGCAAGGTTATGATATCAAATTATATATTCTTCTATTATAATTTATTATATTTATTAATGTAATTTATTATAATTACTGTATTTTTTTTTGGGGGGGGGGGGGGACTGTATAATTGTCAAACACCACACCACCACCACCACATCCTATACTGAGAACTATAATGAGTACGTACAGTAATGGACCAAGCACTCAACCTTGTGGCACCCCATAACCATTTGAGAGCCTATTTCTAATTGTTTCACCTAATTAAACATACTTTTAAGTAAGTGTCAATTAATTTGGTGCGGGGAATTGCATCGGGCTTCGGTATTTTGTTATGAAACACTACAAACCTATCCGATTCGGGCGAATCGTCCCAAAGGTATCCACACTTTAATACTAGAATTGAGCTTGGTCCACTGTTGCATCCCATTTCATCCGCTAAGGACATCTCTCTCGACTGCGCCCCGTACATGGTCGCAATCACAGCTGCGAAGAGAAACAGAAAAATTTTCGACCGCCAAAAAAGGTTCACATCTCACATTTTTTGTTCTTCGGAATTTCGGGCAATTTCCTGCGGCGCCGTTCTCCGTTCCACGGCGGTATCGGTACGCCCCTGGAGAAGGGATCCGGGCGGGGTTTGGGTTCCTCTTTTACCACGGTCCTCGCCTTGGAACATTCTGCTTCCGGCACGTTCGCGTCTCCAATTATATCACAGTCATGGTCGGCGTCTTCGCTACGGGAAGACGTGGGGGAGTCTTCTTCGACGTGCACCAGGCTGCGGTTCAGAATACCTCTTTAGAAGCTGCCCGTGGTCTTAACGTTGGGCATATGACGTGACGTGAAGTTAATTACAGATTTGACAGGTCCTGTATGTTGTCATACTTTGCTTGAGAACCATTTATTTTTCTATACTAAATTCTCTCGAATATAGATGATTGGACGTTGTTTTAAATTTTGAATACAGAACTAGATGTAGATATTTATCATCGCACAATTTTTAATTCACTTTTTTTTTTCGAAATAGTTTTCTTATTATTTAAAATATTTATTATTATAATTTTTTATTTATAGTATTTTTAGTATTTTTGCTATTATTTGAAAAAGTAAAATAGCAATAACTTTTGCAATAAAATTGTAAGATAAGTGGGTACATTAGATTTTGAAGAACTCGAATTGTAATAATTTAATATAACCATTATTAATTATTAGGTAACAACTGATTGTGCAAAACAATGCTAAACAAGAAAAATTCAGTTTTGGTTAGTTTCCTAAATGTTACCTACATTGGGAAATGTTTTCTCAAAAAATTGAAATAATTTAATTTTCCATTATGACCTTCTTTATGACCAAAACCCCTTACAAGAAATAAAAAAAAATAATCCTTATAGATTAATTTTTTTTGTCATGGTAATGTACCTAGCGTTGTGGAATTGACCGCTCAATTTTTTTTTGGCAATTGGCCAAAATAATTTTTAATATACAATGAAATTTATATTTAATTATTTATATTGTGCGTTACATCGCCGTCGCGTAGTTCTGAGAACTAAATGGAGTGGATATTTTTCGTATAGGGAATCCCTTGATGAGGGTTATTGGTAAATTGGACGTCAAAAACGCATAATAATTTATTATAAGATACAAATTAATATTAAATAATGATAGACAACACTCTGCAATTGCAAGATGTTATTTAAAACATTTTGATCGATTTTGACCAGTCAATTAAGAAGTGGTCAATGGGCCACCCTCTAATTAAACCACACATAAATATCTATAATGCAAAAAAAGCCAAAAGTTAACATTTTGTAAAATTGGATATCTCATATTTGTTGTTATTTTTAGTCCAATTTTGATATATTTTTTTAAATCTGGGAATATGATATCCAGTTGTAACTTACATATTCGGCATTTTGTTCAGCGTTTAAAAATATCGGAATAAAAAAGTTATGATGACTTATTCAAAATGCATACTTTTGAGAATCACCCCGTAGCTACGAATCATGCTGACATATCAAGACCAGTTTTTTGTCTTTGAACTTCGGAATATTCTCCGACAATCCGCATTAAAACTCGGCAAAAAATTATATTTTAAAACAATTTCTTTCAGGCAAAGTCAAAATTAAGTCGAAAAGCGTTAATAAAAATTCTTATTTAAAAAATTGATTTAACATTTGGGTACAGGGTTTTGGTTTGGTTAGTTTCATCTGTTAAAATTTGACAATAAGAGTCACATGTTTACAAGTTTTCTTATATTTAAACGAAATTTGCCAAAATCTATTAATAAAAAAATGTTCCCATATATGGTTCGGATTTTAGTGGTGCCATCAAATCCTATCGAAGTTGACCCATCCTGTCCCCAAATGTCAAAACACAGTGTGGAATAATTTTGCATTCAATTTATTCTTAAATACTAATTTTTGTTAACGCTTTTAAGTTAGGATTTAATTTTGGCTTAATTTATGAACAAAAAACTTTACAATATTTATTTTTTGCCGAGCAGGTTGGCTCTTATTGCCCTATTGTTAGTTGGACAGTGTGTTTCTTTTTACGCAAAGTTTATGGTTTCAACTGCTGAAAGATGTTGAATTTCAACGTAGTCAATGAACGTTTTAGGAAAAAGAAAGGCGGAAATAAAAGTTGGGCTAGACTTGCATGATTGATACACTAAGCAGTCATTGCGGCACTTGTGGATGCACCTTTTTTTAAACTAACTTTTTTCGTAAGGATAATGTTGGTCTAAAGTTTATCTTGCACTTAAAACTAACCAATACACTTGAAGACATAGTAAAGAGGCAATTTTTAACGAAAATTTTGTATTTAAAGAAAAAGTGAACGTTTTTTTTTAAATTAGAGAACAAACAACCTTTCCATGCCGTCAGCATTTTGGCAGCAGTTGGCTAAAAAATTATGAAAATTATAACCGCCTATGTGAGGGAAAATTTTGGCAAACAACCCGGAAAACTAGGGCGCGTCAAGACAAAAAAAAAATAAACCAATTGCAGAGACAAATAGCGTATTCTTTACTCACGAGTAAAATGGAGAGGTATTCGTAGAGTGTTGAGGGATTTTGTCGAACCGTTGGCCGAATTCCTCGAAGTCCGAGTCCGCCATGTTTGTTTTGAACCTCTGGACTATCGATTCGGCACTTGCAGGAAGGGTGAAACGCGAAGCCCGGCCGGCGTCGTAGGTCGTCGCGACGCGTCGGACGCGTCGCCGCGCTATCGTGTGGCGGGAAAATTCAGCCTTGTTTTAGATATTAGTCATTCCCCATTGAAAAAACTCAATCATCTATGACGTTAGACATAGATGTGCTAATGAAACTGGTTTAAAAGAAAAATAATAATTTTATACTTATAATCTTTCATAACTTAGCTAGAATATTATTGAATGTAGCACCATGCTTTTATTAGAGACACCAATAATTCCAAAATTGTCCCCTGCTTCGTAACCTGAGAGCTTAGATTGATATCCTAATCTGTAATCTTTTTCTTCACTTTACTAAAATTTTCGTTAAAATATTTTTACTTTTTCTTTGTTTTCTTTTTTATTTTTTTTTCTTTCTTTCTTATTTGTGTTGTTGTTTACAATTTGCATAATGATGCGGGGACACTTGGGACACTACCTTATTTCAGAAACTATAGTGGATTGAGCAAAAAGTTGAATACAAAAGTTAATTGGGGTATTACAAACCTTCAACTTTTGTATTTTAGATGGAGCACTTAGTATATTACTTCATTTTTGAATTCTATTCGAAATTCTAGACATATTTTGCGTATAATGGTCCTATGCCTAAGTCTAACCGTTTCGGACATTTTTAATTTTTTATGCCAAAAATGACGTTTGCGAGACATAAAATATCTGTCAATTTCTTCATTCGGAAGCATTCATTGCCTCACTCAAATTTCGATACGATGCGCGAAAAATAAGATTAAAAATGAAAATAAAAAAACTGCCAAAAAAACTTTTTTTTTAAATGGAAACTACCTATTTTTATAATCTTGTCATATTAGGCATTAAAAATTAAGGCAATTTTATAAAAGGTTGTATATGCCTAATGATTTTACTTTTTGAAATATTTCCTTTTAAACATTTGTCTATCACAATATGTTGTTGGCATATAAGTTCAGTTAGTGTAAGGTGGTTATGACCGCGTATAATAAAACAATTGATTACTGTTATAATTGAAATATTTTTTGACACATTATTAATTTTTTTATTTTTTATCGTTTATAAATTTAATTTATTCCCTTGCTTGCGTATCACGTTTACCACAGAGGAAAAGATTGAGAGATTATGCAACAAAATTTCCATTAAGGAGGATCCCAAAAAAAAGATCTTCGACAACCTTAGAACACCTTAGAATATATGGAACCTTGAAGAAAGAAAATATAGCGTTCTTATATTTTGAATGATGAAGAGCGAATGATGAAATACGCCTTAGATAGATAGAATATATATTAAAAGAACAACGCTTCGATCTGGCCTGAAGTAAACAACTGGAAGTCCTAGAAATTCTGTCTGGGGCAGAAATTAGAGCAACGGTGTTACACATCAGGTTAGATTTTTGCAACAATCTTATGGAAAGACATTTTTTAGAAAATACATTTACAAAAAAATTTTATTACATATAGACGATTCCATATTTACAACCTCAAGTAAAGTTTTAATAGGAAAAATACCCATTACTGAAGCAACGAGAATAATAAAAAAAATATGGAAGTTGCAAGATCACGTAGAACTTCTGTCAAAGTATGGTGCACCATTTGGAGGTTCAGTATTTTTTATCAGAATTTAAATTCCCAACGCTACTTAGAGCTTTTAAATATTATTCATCCCTTTGTTGACAATGACGTGTCTGAAAGAAAACGACGAAATCTAATTTGGTAGCAGGACGGCGCTCCTTATCACAGAAGTCAAGAAATTAGCACCTATTTAAATACATAGTACAGAGAATAGATTGATGAGAATGGCAGTTACTCCTGGCCTCCACTAGATTTTTTTCTATGGGGTACACTTAAGTTTACACTTAGTTTACAAACACAAACCGTCAACTACAGAGGAACTTAAACGTCGGATAAGAGAAGGTATCGATATTTAAAAGGGATTGAATCTGTTAGAAATGCCATTATGTATTTAGAAACCCTTTATCCTATTTGGATTGCTCAAAGTGGAAGACATATTGAACAACTGTTACAATAATTATTATCTTTGTAAGCTACTAATTTTTTTCACCAACGTTATCGCGTATCCTTGGTGTTATTCTGTATAAATAATGCATACATACATTTGTGATAGACAAATATTTAAAAGGAAATATTTCAAAAGGTAAAATCATTAGGCATATACAACCTTTTATAAAATTGCCTTAATTTTTAATGCTTAATATGACAAGATTATAAAAATAGGTAGTTTCCATTTAAAAAAAAAAGTTTTTTGCTAATTTTTTTAATTTCATTTTAATATTATTTTTCGCGTACCTTGTATTATTATGTATCGAAATTTCTTATGAAATCCATTATTCGAGTCCTTTGTCTACAAGAAAACTTACTCAAGTTAATTTGATATAAAATAGCCTTAATTTTTAATGCTAAATATGATAAGATTATAAAACAGGTAGTTCCCATATAAAAAAAAGTTGTTCGTCAATTTTTTTCATATTTAATCTTATTTCTCGGGCACCCTCTATATGTATCGAAATTTCTAATGAAATTCGTTCTCCAGTCCTTTGTCTACAACAACTTAAGTGAAACAATAAATGTTTCCGAATGAAGAAATTGGCAGATATTTTACGTCTTGCAGACGTCACTTTTCGCATAAAAAATAAAATTAAAAATGTGAAAAACGGTTAGACTTAGGTATAGGACATTATACACAAAACATATCTAGAATTTTGTATAGAATTCAAAAATGAAGTAATATACCAGGTGTTCTATTTAAAATAAGAGCGTTGATACTGGCCCACGAAAAATGAAACACCATGTGTTTAAGTTTTGGTTCCATCCCCTATAGTTTCTGAGATAAGGCAGTGTCTCAAGATAAACGGCTCACCCAATAGTTGTGTTGCAATTAAGCAGAAAGAAAGATGACACTTTTTTGGCCAATTCAATAACTCTAATAATAATATTAACTCTTCTGAACCTAAACCTTCAATAAATATGGAATATGTATTTTTGAAAACGAAATATGCTGTTAAAAGTAGTTGTTATTTCTGAAAAATACTTTCAAATATTGTGGTTTCCTTGTTGTTATTATCAATAGTCAAAAAACTATTTAAACTATATTAAATGTATAGCTCCCCTAAAACCAAAACGAAAAATGTAGGTTTAAATGATAGCTTTTTCCAAATGATCTTACAAATTTTCTAAAACCGCAACCTATTTTCCACAAATGTGGATAAATTTTTTTAGTTTTAGACTATTTTTAATTTTAATTTTTACAACTTTTGAAGACCGATATTTTTTAAAAAATATTGTTGCATAGTGTATCGTGTATCGCGTACTTTTTAGGATATTCTAGATGCATCAGATGTAAAGTAGTTGACATGAATTTACTTTGGTATAACACGATTCGAAGATTGCGTTTACAAAGTGAGACTGCGGTCGATCCAAGCTCTCGACTGCACAAAATCAATTCCACTGAGCAGTGCTCCAGCGATAGAGCAAAGCGGAGGACCTTACTCGACCTTTCATGGTTTATTCAGTGGGAATTAATAAAAGCTTTTTCAATTACTTTACTTTTGTTTGACGGCACAGCTTTCCGGCGATTGCCATAAAACTTAAGAGAGATTTTACGTTAAGAACGAGGCTTATTTAAATGTAATTTGATTGGAAGCGACACCGTTTTTTACACAGATTGTCAAGAATTAAAGCAATAAAACACATATAAGCGAGACTAACAAAACTTTCACAATCCTATACTACAAACTACAATCCTGAATGCTTGATCGCCTTTGGATATGACGTCAATGTCAATGTCAATTCTCTTATGTAAAATTTCCAAAATGACAAACCCTACGCGAAGACCGCTGAATTTTCCCAACAGCTACATACCTTACTTAGAGAAACACAGGATTCTAGAACTACTCTACGAAATCGCGAGAGAGCTGGTGATCCAAAAGCCGGAAGATCACGTCCTTTTCATGAAACAGATCCTTCAAAATGCGGCTGCCAGCAGAGATTGCCCGAGAGTGATATTGCTGGGTTCGTCGAAAATCAACAGAGTCAAATTGGCGAAAGAAATAGCAAAACGTACGAGGCAATACGTGATAACCTCGAAGGATATCGAGCAATCATTCGGTGGCAGCAAATCCAAAGCGATCACCTACCTTTTAAGGACGAAGAATCTGGGAGCATCTGGTTGGATTTTGGCAGACTGCATAACGGAAGAGAGTGAAGCCAGAGCACTTGTAAAGCTGGGAGTTCTGCCGACTCATGTGCTTTATATTGTAAGTCCTTCAGATCCCGATATCACTGACTTACTATACTGTAACGTAGCGTCAAACTGGCCAGAGTTCAGGAGGAATTTATTTGGCCTGCGCAACTTATACCAAAAAACTTTCAACGAGGTGTTGGTAGGCAGTAAACCTTTCGACTCTGTTGTGGAGGAATGCGTGAGTGTCCTCAAAAATCGGCGGCCGTTAAAGCGCGTGGTACCCAGACTGATAATTCTAGGGCCCAGGGGATCGGGAAGGAAAACCCAGGCTAAAATGTTAGCCGATTCGATGGGTTTAGTGCACATAGACTTCGAGTATGTTTTGTGTCAGGCTTGGAGGGCTGATACAGAGCTGGGCGCGAGCTTAAGAAAGTGTAAAAGTCAAGTGTGTTTCCATTCGGAACTGTTAAGCCAGATAATAAACAAGAGGGTTTTGAAAGAAGACTGTCTGAAGGGGGGATGGGTGCTCACTGAATACCCATACACGGATACCGATTTCAAGTTCCTTGATCTACTAGACACCCCCCCAAATAGAGTGGTAATTCTGGATTGTGACATCAACGTGTGCAAGCAAAGGATTGCTTCTAGCCAAGACAATAAACAATCGCAAGATGCAGCGAAGCTGCTACAAGCTGAGTTCGACTTCTATCTCGAGCATTACGGCAGCTTAAGAAAGTACTGTGGAGATTCGGCAATTATAATCAAGGGCAACCAGAGTGTCAGGTGCGTAAATGAAGCGATACGTGCGTATATTTTGGGCGCAAATCCCACTGGACCTCCGAGGAAGGGTTTTACCGAAGATATCCCCGAGGTGTGCAGCTGCGACTGCGTCGATGTACCTGCTCCAGTTATCGAAGCTTATATATGATAAATTGTGGAATTGTATGTTTCTTTTTTTACTAGATTAAGAAGTTTTGTTACATAGCAGTTTACAATTGTTTTTGAGGAGCTAGTGACCTGTATGTTTGGTGATTTTATTAAAGCGAATTGACTGGTGAATGGTACACCCACTGGGAGAATTCTTATTTCAACAAGTTGGTGATCATAAAGTTCTCAAACTATATATCAACTGATATCCCTATTTGTATGCCTGCTCGATCACCAGACGTGACACGCGTGGATTTTTTCTAGGGACATTCGAGGGCGGTGTGATAATGTACTTCATTTAGATAAGAACTCCTTAACACCATGCCAGACAATATCACACTGAAGTCATGAAAATGTTTTACTTTGTGATTGAGGATTTTGCTGTTGCATTTGGCTTTGGGCTAGCGAAAATGGTTTCTAACTAAGGATTCAGCCAAACCTTGTGTTGTTTGGCGACGTCTCATTGCGTAATATCAACCTTCGACTTTTCTGCGTCTCATCAGATTGCCGAAGAGTGTCTAGTCATAATTTGACATCTACACGCTTTTTTTGGGGTTTATTTCTTACCACCAGCATCTTCCGTTAAATTGCTGTTAGCTGCTCCAGTCGGTGTTGTAGTACACTTTTAAGTAAATTTTAAAAAAATTATTTCATAGCTCTTGAGTAAAAGGGCTCGTTGTCATGCCATCGTTTTGCAATCAATGTCATATTAGCCTGTGAAAAATTAGACCTTAATGAATAGTTCAACAATATTTGTGGAGATGACTAACTATTTTATTTCACATTTTTTCGTGTAGAATTTAAAATGTTGCTGCTCCCTTTATTCAGACATCAGAAATGTGTGTTTCTCTACGATCGTTGGTTTTTGGGTACATTTTTCTAAAACAACATGAATACATTGACCGATATGACCGTCAGAATTGTCAAATGTCAAAATTCAATCCGTGCGGTAAAATGTCCGAAAACATCCAATTGCTCTAAAATACGTGCACTAATATGACGGAAATGTTCGAAGTGGCTCGGATCCTTGGGAAACGTCACTGAAGCGGCAAAATGGCACTTTCCGCACGCTAGATCAGTGTATAATTAGATAATTTACAGAAGGGAGTAGAAAATATAAATTTCAATTTTTGCTTTAAAAATAGTTTACATAAAAACAAGTCTTGCTTTAACAATAGCTTACATAATAATAACACAAGATGAATAAATATTTCTACCCTGAATTGAGCAGTAGATTATTTAAGTCGGTAATTGTTTTTACTTGTTTTAATTGTTTTACTAAACGAATCTATATCCCTAGAGTCATGGGTAATTTATTGATTTGTTCAGTGGGACGAGACATAGAGTTGTTGAGCGCTGAATTGCGAATATATATCCTAGTTATCCACAACGACGTCACAAATAAGACTAACACTACTTTTAAGAAGCTTCTGGATTATATATTTCTGTGTTTTCTGTAACAAAACTCATCCTTGGAATCCTTAACTCTGCGTTTAGTCAAATATTCAGTTAAACAACATAGAATCATATAAGAAGGCACGCCAATGGAGATTCGCTATTTCCTTTTTGTATCGCCTCTTAAATAGGGAAAATCAAGGGAAAGCATCATTCAACAGGTCCGAAGTCGATAAACAGTCTATCGGGAAAAGCGTTTTCCTGTTCCATTTATACATACAGTTTATCGCGAAACCTTTCCGTCTGCCATCGGAGTTTATTTGAAACTGGCGCGCGTTTCGTAGGAGCCGAGACGCCATACGTAAAACTGTCTTGATCTTAATTTCGCAAAATGAACTTGTCAGTTCAAACGTTCGTAAACGGCCGGGAACGAATCTCCCTATAAGCGAGATACAAGGCGAACAATAGAATCCAAATTACGGAGCGCTCGAAATAGATAATTTCATAATCTAGTTCGTGGGTCCTTCGATGAACATCTTTGCGACTCGATTTTACGCGCCGACTGATGTTGATAAATCTTTTGATGGCATTACGTGTACCCGATGAGACAGCGAATTCGCGAAGGGGTATTTATATACTCTACAAATCGGGTGATTGATGATAACCAAGTATGGATTATTGTTACAAGCAATTTCAGTTGTGTACAAGCAACATAATCGAAAAGACAATGCTGGAGACAACGGTTATAAGAAAAACCCATATTGCATTCCCTATGCTAATAATATCAGAAATTTAAGTATATACAGTGAAGTTCAGATATAGTTGCATCAAAATTTGTTCGCTGTATCCGAGGTTTACTATAAGCAATAAATGATTTTTTGTACACACCTGATGTTTACCTGACGAATGGAGGTTATTGCATAATATATAATATTAAGGACGTTGGTTTTATGGACATATGCTACGATATACTAGCATTTTTCTAGAGATGTATACATAAAAACAAAAAATAAATTTTGGATAAACAAGTCGGATATTTTGGTTTGTACGAGTCTGTTAGAAAAGTTAATATTACTTATATGGCTTTCAAGGTTACAAAAAGAATTAAAATTTTTTCCAGGAACGTCACGCGACTCCAAAAACGTGCGAATTTATATCATTTTTTGCGTCATGTCTTTTACTGAAGGAACATTGATCATGGACGCCTCCTCGATAGGCTCCTCGTTCAGCTCACCTTAACTCAATTCTGCATTTGGTCATTATTTTAATGTTACATTTGATGTTATAGATACCTGTTGACACTAATTGGATAATTTCGTCTTGTGTCAAAGATTCGGCTTGAATAACTTGATCGTCTATTGAAACGTAACTTTGAAATCTCAGCTTCAAGGGCTTTTTGGGTATCGGTATTTTCGGAAACTCCTGAATGTTTTTTAGCCATTCCGTTAGAGGCAATTCATCATCAGAGTCAAAATCATCTTCTGCTTCAAATAACCCTGCATGTTCATGATATTTTGCAATTGCCAACTTCCTGCCAAGTATAGTAATAAAATTTGTAGCATCCAATAAACTCACTGAAAACTCTTGTCCATCATCAATTGCTTCCATCATCTTTATCAGCAAAATCTTTCTATAGTGACACTTCAGGGAACGGATTATCCCTTAATTCAGTTTTGAACAGGTATTGGATGGTATTAAAACCAGTTTGATTTGGTTTAACGGAACATTGCGATGTGCCGGACAATTATCTACTAGCAGAATAATTTTTCTCTTTTTCTTCTTCAATTCTGCTGTTTGACCTTACTTGCCTTGTTTTTAAATCATCCTGGGTTTACTGAATTGTCGATAACAAACAGCTTTCTTTTTTCTGTCCCAGACATGTTTGTAGTAATCAGAACTGTTATTCGAACCTTGGACGTTTTCCACCTGCTCACCGTTCTCTTTGGAATTTCAATGTCTTATCAGGGGTTAGTTTGTAGAAAAGGCCGGTCTCATCGGCGTTAAAAATATTCAGATCAAACCGTTGTGGGCCAGTTATTAACAACATTCATATCAACTGATGCAGACTCAACAATTTTACCTCCAGAGATACAATTTCTCTTCTGAAGACCTTTAATCCAACTTCTGGAATACACAAAATCTCTTTTTTCTATTCTACTTCCCAATTCCTTTGTTTTTTGGTGAAGAAATTTTCTTTTCTTTTTTGGGTAAACCACTGTAAAAGTCCCTTATTGACGCCTTCGTGAGCTGATTTTCTAAGCCTTTTACAAGTTGCATTTACTTGACCATAAGACGAGAGAATCCTGTCTTTTTTTTTTAGGTAATGGAGACAGTTGCTTTAGGCAAATTCATTTCACGACAAATATCACTTTGTTTCATAACACTTTTTGTATAACATCTTATTTTTCAAAGTTAATGCTTTTCATTTTTGCTTCTCCATTTGAAGGTCTGTCATCAATTTTCTTCTAATCTAAATCACAACTGAGATCAAAACAATAACAAAATAAATGTGCTACATATTTCAACTTTTCTCCGGCGAATTACCGGGTGAAGCAACGAAAAAGGTCATTAAAAACGGAAAATGTATATTAATCTTGACGAAATTTAGTTCACTGTATCCGAAAGTTCACTATATTCCAGGTGACTGTAAACAGTAAAAATTTACATTTGTCTTATGAGACTTTTTGAGTGTATTTCAAAAAGTGCTCATTATAACCGAGTGTTCACAATAAAAGGCTTTACTGTATCCGAACTCCACTGTATTTATTTATTTATTAATCAGGATACCAAAGAGATATTCACTATAGAATAGCCAATTATAACGTAGTAGAATATATAAAATCAGTATAATAACATGAACAGAGTATAAACAAAAAAGCAACTATTCAGTTCAGTAATGTAAAATACATATTGACTGCAGTTATTTAGAGAGAGATGGGTAGTAATAGGAACTGTTTTCTTTTTTATCTCTATTTTTAATACTACCTAATGTTGGTGGGAAAATCCGGCTACAATATTTTCAAGATGGCGGTACATCCGGATATACCGGAAGTGGGAGTCAACTTCCTTATTTTAAATAGAACTATATGGTGTGCTTAACTTTCAAAATTAATGTGCGCTAACGGTGAGGACTGGCAACGGCGTAGCAAACAAGAAAGTGTCAGTTGCGTCATAAGAGATAAAAGTATGAGAAGTTAACACTCCAGAAATTCAAACGATTCCGCGGAGGAAATTTTTACAGATATTGTTCGGTCTCTAAACACAAAATGTCTCTGAGAAGATGAGGTTTACGTATAAGATATTATGCATGAAATATGTCTAGACTTTTCTGCAGAATCAAAACAAGCAATGGCAAGTGTAGTGTTCCATTTCAAATAGGAAAGTGGACACCCGTTTTTGGTGTATCCGGATGTGCGGCCATCTTGAAAGCATTTTAGTCGGATAGCCCCCCTCAACATAATTTAAAATTTTCAAACTTTGGCTATAGATATGTGTGTGTGTGATATTTCCATGTAATAACTAAAAAATTTCAATAAATACAATAAACTCCGTTTATAGCGAACATGGGGTATTACGTATATATTTTACTGGTCCGGCCAAAATACTCTTGATTTATCATAGGATATTACGTACAATATATAACTTCTACTACGGTTATAAAGTACAATATTTTCACTATTTCTCTGAACCTGAACCTGAAACCTGCGTGTCCGGCCGACAGTTTCCATT